ATTTTATTTATTCATGAGAGACACAGAGAGAGGCAGAGACACAGGCAGAGGTAGAAGCAGGCTCCCCATGGGGAGCCCGATGTGGGACTCCATCCCAGGTCTCCAGGATCAGGCCCTGGGCTGAAGGCAGGTGCCCAACTGCTGAGCCACCCAGGCGCCCCTAAAAAATAACATTTAGAAGTGAGTAAAACCTTGGTGAAAATGAAAGTAATAAATCATCCACACGCCCACCTCCAGAATTACCTGCTATTAATATGTTGCTATATTTGGCTCCAGTCTACTCACTCCCTCCTTTTAAAAACACTCTTTTATTTTGGTAGAAATAATATATGCTTATGGTAAAACAATGCAAAGAGAGCAGAAAATTTAAAGGATATAATGCAAGAAACGATGTCCAATTCTGATACCAGAAAAAGCCATTGTTAATTATTAAATAGTATTCCAGATATTTTCTGTGCACATATGCTGATTTATAAGGACAGATAGATTGATGCATAGATATAAAGAAAAGCAGAAAGCAATACAAATACAAAAAGGTGATTATACCATATTTGTTATCTTTAAGTGAAAGTTACTAAATTCAGTTTCATTTAAATTAAATACAAAAAAAGAGAAACATGTGAAACCTAAGGGATTTTTGAACTTCTAAGACTTCCCCCCTTACAATAATATCCAGAGATATTATTTTCTAGAAATATCTCTAATGTTTAAAAGGATTATGAAATTTATTAAGATTGGAGGTAGCAATTAAAAAAAAATCCCTGTTAATTTTAGGCACTGTGGATTTATTCCTTTCTCGAAGGATAAGGTTTTAGCACCCTTATATTTTCTTTTAGTTTTCTTTCATCTCTTAATTTTTGACAGCTATATTATACTTTTATTTTGATCTTTTCTCCCCTCTAAATTTCAAGGAAATGCTCTTGTATTATATCTCAATACTCTTTTACCTTTGGTTACCCTTTAGGTGTGTTCATTTTCAGAGCTTTGCATGGGTTTATTCTTACTGTGGGTGATCTTTGTCTGTCTTCCGTGTCTAGTACCTTCTTTCTGTTTGCAGTTCTCTTTTTCTTTCTCATCGGCATTTCTGCTTGATTTTCTCAAGTATGACACTTACTTTTTATTGTTCCTTTTGTGTTGAAGTTCCATCAACTTTTCTTTTCTTTTCTTTTTTCTTTTCTTTCTTTTCTTTTCTCTTCTCTTCTCTTCTCTTTTCTTTCTTTCTTTCTCTTCTTCTTCTTTCTTTTCTTTTCTTTCTTTTTTCTTTCTTTTCTTTCTTTCTTTTTTCCTTTCTTTCTTTCTTCTTTTTTTTCTTTTTTTAGAGAGAGAGAGAGACAGAGAATGTGCAGGCAGGGGAGGCAGGGGGAAGGGCAGAGAAAGAGTCAGAGAGTCCCAACCAGGCTCCATGCCTAGCATGACACAGGGCTCCATCTCACAGGCCTGAGATCATGATCTGAGCTGAAATCAAGAGTTGGACACCCAACCGGCTGAATTACCCAGCCACCCCCATAAATTTCTAAATATTTTCATTTTGGGGTTTTTATCTTAATCTGTTATTTTATCATTTATTTTTCAAGCTGATGTATAATAAAAAATCATAGCTTGAACTGATTGCTTGTGTTTGTGTGTGTGTGAGAAAGAGAGAGAGAGAGAGAGAGAGAGAGAGAGATCCTATCAATAAGTCAGTTTCCCTTTTCCATATACATTCTATCACCAACATCCAACTCAAAAATTTCTCCTGTTAAAATAGAAAAAATAAAAGGATTCTCACATTTTGTCTCTTACTATATTTCTGGGCACTAATGAGATTTCTGAAGATTTTTTTCTGCTGTAGTTTGGCTAAAAGGGAAAGAGAAAGGAAATATAAAACTTAAGCACTGTGCTCTGGTTCTACATCCTACTTCATTTCAAAATTTTCCACTTCTTTAAGAGTCTTTGAAGCTATTCCCTTAAGTTCTGCCCCTTTTCTCATTTTTTTTTGCAATTAGTGAAGTTTTTGCTATCTTTCAATATTTTGTTCGTGTTAGGGGAAACTTCTGCGATTCATTTTCAATAAAGCATTGTAACTGAGAAATCCCACCAGTGTTTTTCTATAGATGTGCATATTATTAAAAGAGCACCTTATTGACTGATTTTTCCCATTAATATTACATAACGTATAATTATAATGTTTAATATATCAATAAATATATACATATATAATACTGCTACCTCATACTAATATATTATCAAACCTCTTCATGAATTTTTTAAATGTTTGTGTAATATTCCTTTATATAGATTTATCATAATTTCCTAACCCCTCCATTATTGTTTGATATTTATAAGGATTCCATATTCTTTTTCTGCTACTATATGTACAAATTTGCCATCAGTAAATCTGAAAATCATGCTTTTTTTCCTGTATAAGTTATTTCTCTACGATACAGTCCCAGAAGTGTGGCAGTGCTACAATAATTTGGGTTTACCAGGTTTTTAGCATTCCTTTTCAAATTTTACACACTTTTATGATCTCTCTAACTTATCCTGGCAGCTTCAGACTGTCAGATAAATTCTTTCCTTGGTTTTGTGGTGACTCATGAGGCAGCTGATTCTTGGGGCACACCTATACCAAGTGCCTAACACACATGCCCATTGCACATGTTCATCCCTATTTACTATTTACCTTTCAGGTGTGAGTAATCACCCATTACTTAGCATTGCTTGAAACTGCCATGCATTAGGCCATTCAAAAAAGTTTAGAGAAACTGGCCAAGGTTCAGGGAAACCAATGGAAATGATTTAAAGTTTAAAAAACTAGGCTTTTAAGAAAACTGAGGGCTCATCTGCACCTGTAGGTAGGTAGCTCTGTGGGTGTAGCTTGGGGCGTGGAGAGCCATCCTTGCTCCCAAGAATCTGGCCTATTGACCTGGGTTAATGCCTCTATTTCCAACTGTGGAAGAGGTTACCTTTAGAAAATCCCTGTTAAAATATATACTTGCCTGGCATGACTAAATCACAAAACCGTTTGTATTTATTTTCACATCACTGGCAGTCAGCTTATCTTATTAGTTAACTGTTTCTTCTTGTCAGTCAAACAAATTCTTGTAGGATCAAGACCTAGGAAAGGAGACTCTTGATGTGGGAAAGGTTGCTTCAGAGTGAGGAGCTTTGTCCAAGGAGGGAGGTTATAGACTGGAGCCAAAAGTCAGAACCTGAGCATCTGGGCATAACACAGGACATGACTCAGGAAAAGGACAGAAGGAATTATGAAGGCAATTCTACTTAATTTGTAAATTTTTGCAAGGTCATTTAAGCATAGATCTTTCCAATCTACCTATCTCTCCCTGTCTAAGTCTATCTATCTGTATCTCTTTTTTATCTTCTTCTTTTTTTTTTTTTTTTTTTTGCTAGAGATGGTGATCAGCCTCTTTATGTCTTCAGGACAAGGAGGATGGCACAGAATGATGTAGTTAAGAGCCTGCCTGGCTTATAAAATTTTACGTTGTCAAGATGAAAGTTATACGTGGAACTGTTCTCAAAGAATACCTGTGAGGTTAGGCAGGGTCAATTTTCAGCCCCTTAATTTTGGAAAATTGTGGAAGTCACTTCAGTCTCACAGCACTGCTTGATGGCAGCAAAATAGTTAATGCAGATGTAATGCCAGACACAGAGTAAACAGACAATAACTATTTGTTTTATTCACATCTTCCCTTCTGTGATGTCTGCATTCAGGCTGGGCGGATAGGGTTGGTGATGGACTAGAGAGGTAAAGCAGCAGGTTGGGTAAATGACAGACACAATGATACACCTGCACCCCTGAGATCATCCAAAGTGTATTCTCACAGTCTGTTTGGAAACTTTGATGGTATTTTGTGGATCTCACTGGAAGCCTCAGCAATTCGCTACAAAACCTAATTATTCAAGTAATAGCCGCAGACTGTCAGCTGACAGAGCTGGTGATTGAAATACTCCTGAGTGGCTGATAAAGTTCTGTCTGGAGTTTTATTTTTGTGTGTGATTGCCATGAATGGTATTCCAACACTGTTTTTTTGTTTGTTTGTTTGTTTTGTTTTGTTTTCTAATCAGGATTTAAGAATCCAAGTTGTAGAGGTTTTCTCCCAAATCACCCTATAAAATGGCTCTGGTCTCTCGCATACATGTGAGTGTGTGGTTAAATTAAGCAAATGCTTGATTCTGATGGGGCCATCCATGGAACAAGCCCCAGCTTGCAACTCCTGTGCTTACTTTCTGCCTGCTTTGTCTTTCATTAGTTGAGCTGTGCCTGTTGCCAGTCAACCATATGGTTTTGGGGTGGAGGAATCTGACGTAGAGATAGGAAGAGATATTTCAAAATTAAATCATTGACAAAGATGAGAATTGTTGGGTGAAATCTGAAAGTTTGGAGTCCTTGCCATCCTGTTTATTTGAGTAAGCTTTGATTCCTGGAGTCTGCAGATCTCTAAGGAGCAAAGCCCATCCAAGTTCCCAAACCCTTGGAGAGGCTTCAAAAGCCTCATTAGCCTGCAGCTTCCCTGAGGTGGTGAGCACACAGAGAAAGAAATTATCCTTCTGGTTGTTTAATTTCGAGCTGTTGGGACATCACTTGGAATCGAGGAGCTCATTTTATATTTGTTGAATAAACACGTACATTAACATCTTAAGTACCTTTTTCAGATTTGGAAAGCAGACAGCAGAGAATGGGAAAACATTCCAGTTTGGATGTTTGGAAACATTATCTCTGTAGATCTAGCCACAGTACAGGGACACTATTCCCTCCTCCTCCTTCTTTATAAAAGAGAAAGGAAATGGTTTCTTCCCTGAAGAAAACTGTAATATTTTGTATTTGGCACGTTTTACTTTGTGAAATGTCAGCGCTGATGTAAGTGCTCCATGTTTTCTGGGGTATGAATCGCATGAAGTGACTGTTTTTTCAGGTTGTATGTTCTTGAGAGATAAGCCTTTTATTTTCTTTTTAAAGATTTTATTTATTTATTCATGAGAGACACACAGAGAGAGGCAGAGACACAGCAGAGGGAGAAGCAGGCTCCCTGAAGGGAGCCCGATGTGGGACTTGATCCCAAGACCCTGGGATCATGCCCAGAGCCAAAGGCAGATGTTCAACCACTGAGCCACCCAGATGCCCCGAGATAAGCCTATTCTGGTGAATGTCAGTAATGAATTTTTTGGCATGGACTACACGAAACTGACATTTCCAAACATTTGATTGAGAGAGAAGAGTTACACTCCCACTACCCTTGTGTTTCAGAAAGGTGAGGGGCTGAGCCTGGGGAAGGAGGTGTGAACCATTAGAGACCTGAGGCTTTTCAAAAGAAAATGGAAAAGAGGTGGGCAGTGTGAGCAGGTGGGATAGGGGTCAAAAGATTGGATCCTTGCTGCTGTCTTGCCTCTATATACTTTGGCTTCATCCAAACCTTTTGTTTTCATGTGACTGGAAAAAGAGCAAATGACTATGGCTTAATGTCAACAAGTCTGGAAGAAAATTGATTTTATTTAAGTCCACTGAAAGAACAGTTTTATGAGCAAAATACCAAAAAAGCCAACTTTAGGAAATGTTTATTCTAGTTAAAAGAATCAAGAAAAAGCGTGAAATGTACCTCAAGTTCCACTGTGGTTGAAACTTGTGCACAGATAGCATTCCAGAGTTGTGATCTCCAGTTCTTCTATGATAAGCTAGTCCTGGAGGGCAAAGAAGTTGCTAGAAAATTCTGGGTTCCAAAATTTTAATTGCAGCATAACTACCAAAAAAGTCTGTACTATGAAGTCTGTGAAGGTCATTACCCCATAAATGAGCACATTGTGCTGATTTTGCCATGCATAAAAACAATTTTAGTAATAATCAAAATGCATTTTGATAAAATTAGAACAACTATGTTTAAAAATTAAAACAAAAGGACAATAAAATAAGGACTATTTTTCAAAACAACATCTTAAAAATTTTAAGCAAACAATAGATCTCATATTGATCTGTCTACTCATTCAACTTCTTCTCAGCCCCCCTTAAAAAATCTGTTTGAGTGTCTGGGCAAAGCAGTGCTAACTGTTTGAAAGTTTGCTGTCTTCTATCATTCCTTCAATCCTTAAGTAGTTTTAGTTAAAGAGAAAACATTCTCTATGATGAGGAATTTAACGTAAAATTAATGTAATTCAGGAAAACATGGACTCATGCTCAGATTTTATGAAAATTATATCAACAAATTCATCAGTGGCTTTAATTTCTAATTTTGATGATTCTACCCAAAACAATAACTGCATTGATGACAATTATTGTAAGTCACTTTGATGATTTTCATACTACATTTTTATCCATTTGAAAGAACTTAAGTTGGAAAAAAGGATGCCAACATGACTGAAATTATATGTCCATCTGGGTTCAAATACATTGGAAAGTGATGAGCAACAAGATAATCCTTGTGTTTAAAGAACTACGGACCCTCAGAAAACCCTGTAACAGCAGGCTGAAACAGACAATGTAAAATACTTTTAAAAATCATTGATTTCAGTGGAATTTAGTGAGGTAAGTATTTCAACACAGGAAACACAGTTAAAAAGACATTAAAAAAGACATTTTGCTTAGTCTTTAAAATAATGGTTGTTTGCTGTAGAATAATGCATGATTGGGAGAAAGGCTATTCCTTTTTGGCTAAAAACGGTCAAAGAGCAAATATCGACCATTGCAAAAACTTCTAACCTTTGTTGATGACACTAAGTCCTCTGAACACTTCCACCTAAAAGCAAAGAAACATCAAATATTTTTCAAAGAGGTTTTTACTCAAAATGAAAAGTATTAAAATGATTAAAATTTAACATTAAAAAATTTCAACTTACATTAGTTGTCTACAGAGCCTGGGTCTGATACAAATCATCAGCCCTTCCCGACCACCTCCCCCCTTCTCTCCTTTTTTCTTTTTCAATGAGTATATCATGGGCCCACCACGTGTTCAGTACTATTTTAGGTACCAAGGAATCATTTTAGTTTTGACATCAATTTTGGCAGAAATAACAATAGCAGGGCTTGTCTAAGACCAGTTTTGAAGTTTGCTACCTACCTATGAAAATACAGCTTCAGAGTTAGGTCAGAGTGAGGATGATACGCCAAGCCTAGCTTACTCTCCTTCAAAAGATATTTCTGGGCTGAGTTTGCACATAGGAACCCCAACTCACCTTCTTCCATAGCCACCCACACATTTCTCAGAGCTGCCTAGCCCAGGGAGTGAACCATCATTCTAGTTCCCTGAACATAGGTTATTATTCATTACAGCTCAGCAGGCAGCTTCCTTTGGAGGGATTCCCACAGGAGGTATCACATTACCTGTGCTTCCTGGTGCCAGCTGTTGTTCACACCTGCAGCCTCCCCGTGAAGTCAATGGGAGGCCACGGGGATGCCATGTCTGGGTCAGAGAAGTCTGAGTTGATAGCATGAAGGACAGAACCCAGACTTACAGGTTGACTGGGTCTGCAGTGAGAAACTTCGAAAGCTTCATATGGGAGACACTTTGCTTTTTCATTTATTTTTATAGAAGCAAGAAAGGCAGCTGTGTGGAAGACGATGACTCATATGCTTTTGCTATACTGCTTCGTGTTTCTTTTGCCCACAGAGTCCTGCAGGACATTATGCCAGGTAAGAAAAAGGGAGGTGGGAGGACGAAATGATGGGAAAGCAAATGGAAATAAAAACCCATCTGTTAGGCAGCTCTTAGCTATCTGTGCTCAAGCATAGGGGGACGACAGTGGTCCAGCCAAAAGAATTTGCAACTACAGGTATCCCAAACCCATTTTAGCTAATAGCCTCAAACTGTTTTCCTTTTGACTTTTTCTATAAATTCCTGAGATGCAACGAGGCTCAAGTGATTTAAGGTTGATAATTTTTTTCCCTATATCCTTTAATGGTGAAGATTTTCATTGCTCACAACCAGCCGTGTGCTACTTCCATTTAGGCACTTGAAAATGTGGAAGTGGTGAGGGGTGTCAAAATGACTGGGAGATACTTAATGGCATTTAGTGGGCAGGACCTAGGAATGATCTGGCTCAATTAAGCATTGTCCTACCCCAAATGACATCTTTTTGAGAATCCTGATAGTGAACACAATGGATGGTCTGGAAGGAGAAATATGCCCCTCAGATAGTCAATGGTTAATCAAGGTTTAACTGGTATGAAGTTTATAGTAATGTAGTATTTGTAAGTTTTGTGGGGCAGTGAGCCCTATGGCTCCCCTTAGAAATCTTTCCCTCACACCCTGAGTCATTTTAATGTCTTTAACAGTTACTTACTTAAATAAGGTGTGGTATTCCAGGGAATAGTGTATTATTATTGGACTACAAGATCTGGAAGAGAGCTTTGAGATCAATTGGTGAAGAGCCATCTCTTACTTTATAGATAGGAAAACTGAGGTTCATGTTGTGGAATGTGGTTTTCTTGAGGTTACACACCCATCCAGCTGCAGGACCAAGGCAGGACCCATTTCTTCAGATTCTGTTTCTTGTTCTTTCCATTGTATTATGGAAGTTCTTAGCAAAAGCCTCCTCAGTGAAGGATGACTTTGGAAATTCTTTGTAGGAGTTTCCAAATGATATTTACTTTACCTTTTAAGTAGTGTGCCACTGGCTGGGAATGTTCTCCATGACTCGCCTTCTCCTCAGCACTGAGTTGGTGCCTAGCTTCTGGGATAGGCTAAAGACTCCTTCAGAAAGACTTCTTCCAGAGGCATCTTACCCCACAGCTTGGTTCTCCTTCCCCTCTTCATTTCCTCATTCATGTTTTCCAACAAGACAGAACTTGGAGAGTAGATAGAGCCTGGGAGGTTGGTTTTGTTTTCTTAGGTATTGGGGACCGCCTTATGAATATTCCACCCTTTTATTCTCAATTTACAAGTTGCTGGATGCTGAGCTTCTGGGTGCTACTCCTCTTCTGACCTCCCTTCTCACCCTGGCAGCTTTTCAGGTTTAGCAGATTACAGGTTTCCAAAGTGTCTTTTTCGTAGTATTTGGGTGAGGATTATAGATATCTGAAGCTAAAGTGGCCCATATCAGATGCGTCTCTAGAACTGAAATGATGAGGAGGAGTTGTATATAGATGTGCTTTGGCAAATTAACTGGTAAGAAATGAATCCTGTCCTTTACTTAAGAAGGCAGTTTCCAGAATTCCTTGCAAAAGTGCACCATGGTCTTCTGCCCACATATCTGATTAATATAATGTGACTTCATGGGATTCTGTTTAATGGGCAAGGGTAACCCAGAGTTGTTCACATTGAAGTGCTTTATTATAGTGTATTGGAAAGCATGGCCCTCTTAAGATGAGTTTAATGCATCACTTCCCTACACCCTGCATACTCCTCTGCCTTCTCCACTTGCACGTGGGCTGGCTTGGTGGAAAAGACAATGTCAAAGGATTAAGAAAAGCTGAGTTCTAGTCCCAGTTGTAAGAAGAGGGACCTAAGAAGGGAGTCCTGCGTAGCGCCAGATAAGTCACCTTGTCTATCAAAGACCTGCCTTCCTTACCTGTAAAATAAGAAGATCTTTCAAAATTCGAAAGAATGCCATTTTATTATTCTTGTTGGGTCAAAAGCCTTTAAGTCTTCCAAGTATATAATAAGGCTTGGATCTCTAGACTGTGAAACAAGAAGTCATCTTACATCATTGCTTTGAAGGACATTGTATTTCATGAAGGCTCAGGGATACCTACTTCCTCTTGGACAGAACCTAAATGCTCAATTCAGAACCTCCATAAATTCTCATTGGTAGAGAAAATGGAAGATTTGGGCTTGTTTCTTGATAACACAGATAGAAACGTGAAGGAGAAAGGGATATGAACTCCATGTTCTGAATTTCTAGTTCCTTCCTAGTGGTTTAGATATTGGAACGCAAGTTGGAGAATTGGACAATGGCTCTTCCCAGCCACCAGAGTATGAACTTTTGGTACAAAAACAGAAAGTTTCAATCCCTTTCTTTTTCATTCTCTCTCCACACACACACACACATACATACATGCACATGTCAGTATTATATGCATACATGCTAATATGTACATATACACACATGTATAAGACACAGAACTAGCTTTTTAGGTTGCATACACAACCTGTGATTTTAAAAAACATACAGTTTAACCGAGAAGATAATAAGCACATATAAAAATGGTTAGATAGAAATAGCAGGTAGGTGAGTATTTGCAAAGCATTAAGGAGTGGTATGGTGATATAAATAATAAATCCTATAGGAGCCAGACAGAGAAGGATGCATCATTTATAATTGGATCAGGAAAGACTTCCTGGAAGGGGCAGACTTGGGCTTTGTATGTAATAGATATTCACTGAGTACATGTTCAAAGAGAAATGATGGGAACTAAATCTTAAATACCATTTACAATACTGCAGGCCCCACTCTAAGCATTTTCCATAGGATGATCTCATTTATTTTTCTTTAAAGTGCTCTGAGATATCACACAATTATAATACTATCACTCTTGCCCTACTTTATGGATGAGGAAACTAAAGCCCGGAGAGATGAACTTTTCCAGGTTCTCAAGTGGTGGTATTGGGATTTGAACCCAGGTGGTCTGTTCCCAGGGTACACCCCTTGACACAATGTGATACTGCCTCTCAGTGAAGGGTCCAGTCTGATATGAATGGGTGGGATGGAGAGGGATTTTAATCAGGAGAGGTGGGAAGTGTTCATGATAGGGGGAAGCCAGGTAAGCAGGGAGTTCCCTTAAAAAAAAAGGAGTAGAAAATTGCAAATCCAAAATTAAGGGAAAAGTGAATGTCTACTTAAATTGAGGAAAGTAGTTACAATAAATTTCAAGTTTTACAACAAATTTAGACATGCTGAAGTGGTTTATATTCAGCAAGTATTTAGCATTATTCAATAATAAATCCTGTAAAATCACAATGTTTTTATTAATAAACTACCCACATCTTTTTCTCTACGTTTTTAGCTGTGTACTTGCATTTATAACATTTTTTTCTACAGAGAAAATAGAAAGATTATTCAGTTTTTCCTCTAGCATTGCTGATCAAATTTGTTCTTTTATTATTGCCAGATTAGAAAAGTATCTTTCAGCTTCTCATTTCATTTTTAGAATGTAAATATGTAAGACTGTTGTCAACTTTGGGATGGCATCTAGTAAGTTTCTTTCATATATGAACTGCAAGGTAGCCAAAACACTTGGAATTTTCTCGTTCTGTGACTAATTGTAAAAACTATTTTTTTTCAAATTGTAAATACTCTAAAAGGAATGCCGCTTATGTGTTGATGTCCTCATTGTAATGTGGAAATGACTGCAAATTACATAAGTATATCCTATTAAATTCAAACTAGATGTATCCCTAACTCAACTTACACTTGTCCAGATTCCATAAATAGCTACAGCCTCTCTAGTGCTATCTATCCAAAATGAGGGAGAGTGTGAAGGAAGGAAAGGTGGAGTGGCAAATAACAGTGATATGAACAGAAGGTGGTTAAACTATTTTGCCTTTGAAAATTTAATAAAATATATGATCATGTTAACACATTGCTATGTCTCAGTGTGTTGAATGGGGTCCAGACATGCAAGGGATTCCAAAGCTTAACCTTCATTAACTTCCACGTAAGTCCACCTCTGCTCATGGTGTATCTCTTGGACAGAATGTTGGGCCTTCTTCCTGGAGAGGAAGGAGGGCTCCTGCTGAGTCGCAGTGGGAAAGAAAGCCATCCAGACTGATGACAAAATGGGCCGTGGGGACATACTTCACAGTCTCAGCTTTTGGTGGTGTCCTGGCATCAGAGCTGATTCAGACGTAGCCATTAGTCTGTGACTAAAGTGGATCATTGGGCAGGCATACCAACAATTAATTTTCAGGTTGATTTTGATTTTCCCTTTCTAGGTTGCCAACAAAAGCAAGGAGAAGATGCCTGCCAGGCCACATGGTACGTTGGCAGTGGTTAGTAATTAAATGGAAGTTTTTGTTTATTTATTGTAATAGAGAGCCGTGCTCAGCCCTCTGTTTATGGCATGGCAGATGGGACACCTTGATGGTTCACATTTGGACTCTTTTGTTTTCTCATATTAAATTGTACCTTTGACCCCTGCTCCCCTCTCCTCCCAGCACCCTCTGCTCCATCCTAGCCTGAGAGTTCTTTGCCATAAACTTTTTTGACTGAGCCAGCATAGGCTGGAGCGGGGGCTAGAGCAGGTCTGTGAGAACTCATCGATGACGGACTCATCATGAAGTTCCAGAGCTGGGACCTACCTGAGAACCTCGGGTGCAGTGGCTTCCCTACTGTGTTCTGGGGAGCTGGAGGAGTTCAAGGGAGGTATGGGGCGTGAGAGACATCGTGAACTAGATGTGGGCTCTTCCGTGTTACTTCAACTGGGGAAGTTCCACTTTACCTGTTTCATATGTTTGAGTTCTGGATAAGATTTTGTTGGAAACAAGAGGTGTTTTTCACTGGAATATATGATGATCACTGATCTATTTCAATCTTCCTCCACTTTGCAAAGAAAATACATTTGATGTCCACTGGGTTTATGTACTCTCATTGTGCTAATGTCTTGGTGATTGGCATATGTAGCACTGAGTCCTGACCTTTGCATTTGATGTCAATACTTTTTTTTTTTAATTTATGTTGTTTTTGTACTGGGAAATATATTTTTTAAAGATCTTATTTATTTACTTGAGAGAGAGAGTGAGAGAGTGTATGCAAGAGCATGAGCAGGGGAGAGGGGGAGAGGGAGAGGAGAAGTACACTCCCTGCTGAGCAGGGAGCCTGATTTGGGGCTCAGTCCCAGGACCCTGAGATCACGACCCAAGCTGAAGGCAGATGCTTAACTGACTGAGCCACCCAGGTGCCACTGATACTGATACTTTTTATTTCTCCAGGTGTATGTGATGGTACCTGTGTGGCCAATTCCCACTGCAGTCAACCTTGCCCTCCAGACACTCAGGGAAATATGGGATTTTTTTGCAGTCAAAAGAAATGGCACAAGATCACTGAAACCTGCCGGACTCTTAATGCCTTCAACATCTTTGAGGTAATATCCTTTCTCTGACATCCAGAGCAGAGTCCCAAATTAGCAGCACATAGCATGGTCAATAAGAGAGAGGGAGAGCACGGGGTAGGTTAGTGCGTTTGTACGAGAATACATAAACACCTACTCATTTCCTCTCTCTGTACAAGAATGGAAGTGCTAACTTTGGGCATCTAAAAGTTTGTTGCCCTGTTTTCCCACACGCTTCATGACACCAAAGAATGTGATCCTCAGGTCAGAGGTAGAAGAGCTGTCTAGAATGATCATGGTTTACTTCTCCATCTTAGCTCTTTAATACAACCCTAAGAACTTTTAGATGGGCAGAATTCAGGCTCTGCCTCAGACATGTTGAATCTGAAGCTGCATGTTATCAAGATCCCCAGGTGATTTCTGTGCTCAGTAAAGCATGAGAAGCAAGCTGACCTAAAGGGAAGGACTTCATCATCAAACAAATGAATGTATTTCCATATATACTTAAGTCATTACACATTTTTAAATCAAATTTTGATAAATAAAATCAAGTCAAATATTATTTCTTCTCCTTTTGTTTCTTTTATTCCTCTTCTAGTAGGAGCTTCACCTTGCTGAAGTTCAGTCTCTGATGAACTTCAGGGCAGTCAATGCTTTAGTATCTCTTTGGTCCTAGGTTTTGAGGGTGGCCAGAGGGAGTGCCAGTGGATGCTATACTTGAAGTCCTTGACCAGACTTCAAAGGCTACCCACACCAGGGTGTCTGTCACTGGGTCCACCTCTACTTTGAGGAATCTGGGCACATATACACAAGGAGACCCACATACCCTATGTTTTAATATCTAAATGGTTTAAATCAAGCTTATGGACTGCTAAGTAAAATGTGTTCTGCTGGTCTCCCATCAGATTACGTCCTGTACCTCAAGGGTGGTGGAAAGCCAAAGTCACATGTTCATAATCCTGAAAACCAGTGTCCCTTTGCCACCTCTCAGGCCTAGTGGTGAGCACACTGGTGGCAGGGCCCATCCTTGGTAGCACAGACTTAGGGAAGAGGCCCAGGCAGGCCCCAGAAGTGGGCTTGGGGTTGCTAAGCCAGGAATTTAAGTGTCTAGCCGCAGGGACATGAGCTCTGAGTACGCATACTCCCTAGGCCCACAGTTTCTTTCTTTTGTGAAGGGGCAGGTTAGAGGAGGCCAGAGAGGGGTCCTCTAAAGTAAAGGTTGGCAATTTTCTTTCTGTGAAGGGTCAGATGGTTGGTATTTTAGGCCCTAGGGGTCATAGGGTCTCTATTGGGAGTATTCAACTCTGCCATTGTGGCATGAAAGCAGCCAAAGACAATACTTAAATAATGAGCAGACTGGGTCCCAATAAAACCTTTTAAAAAATAGGGGGCACCTGGGTGGCACAGCAGTTGAGTCTGCCTTTGGCTCAGGTCGTGGTCCCAGGGTCCTGGGATCCAGTCCCACAATGGACTGCTTGCAGGGAGCCTGCTTCTCCTTCTGACCTATGTCTCTGCCTCTTTCTCTGTGTCCCTCATGAATAAAGAAAATCTTTAAAAAAAAAAAAGGGCAGCCAGTTGGGGCCATGTTTGCTGCCCCTGCTCTGAAGTGTGGGACCCAGAAGGTGGATCTGTGGGAGATACTGCTCATCACTGTTTTCACATATTCTTTTGTGTTGGTGTCAGTTGATTCATCCAAATCTAGTTCAGAAGTTCTATTTTTAAAGCATGCTTAGTAAAAATAAGCTTAAATGACATTAGAGATTTATCGGTGTGCACAGGGCATAGATACAGTGTGTATAATCAGAAGGGGTCTGAATGCTATGCTAAAGATAATGTTAGCTCTCTGGAGGGAGGGGGTTAGGAGCAGGGAGCTGGCAGGTTGGAACTTTGGTATTCGGTTCACACACCTCTGTATTGGGCAAGTTACTCCATAGCAAATGTGACTATGAAAATGTAAAATTGGAAAACATTATGCAATGCACAATCGTGTGATAAGACTATCCTAAATTGTTTTAAAGGTTGTTTTTTTTTTTTTTAATCTTCAGGACAAAAGTCACATAATAAAAACTTTCCTTTTGCCATTTCTTAGACAAATTTATATTCAGCTCAACCATTCGGAGGAAATACAAAAATCAGTGAGTATGCCAGAATGTCTGAGACTATCACAGACATGTTGATGCAAAAGTGTCCAAAGGATTTGTCCTGTGTGCTCAGGAACATTCAGCAGTCTCCCCGGATCCCAGGAAACATTGCTGTCATCGTGCAGCTCTTACACAACATATCCACGGTGCTACTGACGGGTGTTGATGAGGCGAAGATGCAGGTGAGTGGCCTCGACTTGGTAGAATGATATTTTGGTGGAGAGGAATGCAGGTTAGCTAGAGTTTTCTGTGGGCCCTTTGGGGTCTGTCTGAGGACCACCTCTTTCCCATCTGTATCTGTAATGCCTGGCATAGCAAATGCTCCATAGATGTTCACCACAGAATAAACAAAGGAATGGAAGAAGGGAGTGCAACCAGTAGAGACACTGCTTATTGAGTACTGGGTCCGACAACACAGTAAGCTTTTCCAAATGTGTACTTTGGCTACTGAAAACCTCTAAGAACCATTGTGGTTCCTGCAGAGAGAGACTTTCCCTACTTTTCCTTGCGAGTCAGAACAGGCTGCTAACATGGAAAATAATCGAATGCAAAGAAAACAACCATATGTGTCTGCTGCAAACGTGTGGAGTGGAACTGGATTCACTTCTTTTATTTTTGATCTTTGAGGCAGAGGATAAAAAGGAGTTTCAGCCTCTGGTGTCAATTTTCGATTGGCTATGTTCCTGACCAGGGTCCTGCACACGGTTGGGATTTAATAGATGTTAATTGCATGATGGGTATACTCTTAGCAGGGTTGGTGGGTTGCTGGCTTCCCCAAGGTGTGAAGTGGAACCCATGATGTCAGTGAGCCCGAGGAAGGCTGCCCACTTGCCTGCCTCATAAGGAGATACTGCATACACGACGCATTGCTCTATTCCCCCACCCAAACTTTGGTGGCATGCCAGTACCCTGGGGATCTCATTACGATGCTGATTCTGATTCACTAGGTCTGGGGTGGGCCCTGAGATTCCATATTTCTCACAAGTTCCCAGGGGAGGCCTATGCTGTTGGCTGGAGGACCCCACTTTATAAAAGTGAACTTTGACTATCCTGGCAGATTTGCAGAGTGGCACGGTACTAACGCCGGTTCTTTGTTGGCAGAGTTACAGTGTCATGGCCAACCACATTCTTAACAGCAAAAGCATCTCAAACTGGACCTTCATCCCTGACAGAAACAGCAGCTGTGTTCTGCTACATTCCATCAATTCCTTTGCAAGAAAGCTCTTTATAAATAAATATCTCATTGACATATCAGATGTCTTCATTCACACTCTGGGCACCACCATATCCCGAGACAACACTGGGAAGAATTTCTCTTTTGCAATGAGGATTAATGACACGAGCAATGCGATCACTGGGCAGGTGCTGATCAGTAGAGACGAACTTCGCAAGGTGCCTGCTCCTTCTCAGGCCATCAGCATTGCATTTCCAACTCTCGGGGCCATCCTAGAAGCCAGTCTTTTGGAAAACGTCACCGTGAACGGGCTTGTCTTGTCTGTCATTTTGCCCAAGGAACTTAAAAGAATCTCACTGATTTTTGAAAAGATCAGCAAGTCGGAGGAGAGGAGGACACAGTGTGTTGGCTGGCACTCCCTGGAGAGCAGATGGGACCAGCAGGCCTGTCAGATAATTCAAGAAAACTCCCAGCAAGCTGTTTGCAAATGTAGGCCAAGCAAGTTGTTTACCTCCTTCTCCATTCTTATGTCACCCCACATCTTGGAGAGCCCGATCCTGATTTATATAACGTACACAGGCCTAGGCATTTCCATCTGTAGCTTGATCCTTTGCTTGTCCATTGAAGCCTTGGTCTGGAGCCAAGTAACGAAGACAGAGATCTCATACTTACGCCACGTGTGCATCGTCAACATCGCGGCCACCTTGCTGATGGCTGACGTGTGGTTCATTGTGGCTTCCTTTCTCAGCGGTCCAGTGACACACCATGATGGATGTGTGGCAGCAACATTCTTTGTTCATTTTTTTTACCTCTCTGTGTTTTTCTGGATGCTTGCCAAGGCACTCCTTATCCTCTATGGAATCCTGATTGTTTTCCATACAGTGCCCAAATCAGTACTGGTGGCAGCTCTCTTTTCAGTTGGCTACGGGGCCCCTCTGCTCATTGCTGTTGTCACGGTTGCTGCCACGGAGCCCAGAAAGGGCTACCTACGGCCTGAGGCCTGCTGGCTTAACTGGGACATGACCAAGGCCCTTCTGGCCTTTGTGATCCCAGCCCTGGCCATTGTGGTCGTAAACTTGATCACGGTCACACTGGTGATCGTCAAGACCCAGCGAGCCGCCGTCGGCAGCTCCATGTTCCAGGAGGTGAGAGCCATTGTCAGAATCAGCAAGAATATCGCCATCCTCACACCGATGCTGGGACTGACCTGGGCATTCGGGATAGCCACAGTCGTTGACGGCAGCAACCTGGCCATCCACATTGTCTTCTCCGTGCTCAATGCATTCCAGGTAAGTCTAGATGCCACTGACCTGGTCCTAAGGGAGAGAATTCAGGAAGAAGGTTTGTCATCAGGAGCTTCTGCAATCATATTTCTTCATAAAAGACAATAGATTTGGAAGAGCCTATTGAGTCAGGAAATAAGCTTTATCTCCCACGTCCTCACCCCCACCCCAGAAAGGCCTGGTTCAAATCTTGACTCTCATTTACTAATGTGTAATATTCTCTTGAGATATTGACTTAAATTTTCTGAGCCACATTTATCTCACTTATAAAATGGGTATAATACTGCCTACCTTATAGGGGTGTTAGGAAAATGAAATAAAACCCTGAATGGGAAAGCACCAAGTACCAAAATGACCTAAAGATCATAAATAGCACAACAGTAATGCTGAGCTGCTACAGTTTAGAAATTAAACATCACCACTTCTCCCAAAACTAGGTACCTAACTGGAGGTCTTAAAATATACACATTTATTGTATTTCTTTCCATTTAGAATTTTTAGTTCCCATTGGAAACCATCTTATTTTAATGAGGCAGGTCATACAGAGTGATATTGAAGATAGTTTCCCTTCTCTCACATCTATGAATTAAGCAATGTTCACAGTTCCATATGTTTCCTTGCAAAAATGTTTTATGCTCAACTGCAAATATATTTTCATAGAACATAGGGGTTAAAAAATACATTATTATGCACCTTACTTTTTCACTTAAAAATATGTGGTAGTAAAGCATATATTTTAGAATGGGGGGAAGACCTTGAGATTTATCTGCTCAAGTTGTACTGTATCTACTGAAAGAATTTTTATTACTCAGATACTAAATCCTTGTCTAATAAGTCATCCAAATTTTCTGAATGATATTTTGTGTAACTTTTCCCAACGTGGGATCAATGAAAGGTGATCCTAGTGGAATATTTCCATGTTACATATTTAGGACTATACAAATGCAGGTTGCATAATAAAGCCATTAAACACACACACTATATATAGCACAGGTACACACACAAATAAATACAGACCCACCACATTTACTGAGCATTTTGTGTCAAGCATTATGCTAAATGTCACAGATATGAATATACTTAGTTTAGCCTCCAGAAATTGAAAACCTTATCAGGAGAGAAATTCCTCTTCATCCCTTAGCCAGGGGAATGTGTTTTTTGGAGGAGACAGGCTCAAATTATGGTTCCTAGATATTTTAAAATTTTAATCCCTCGGTAAAATTCATGGAGTTTCTGATTTAAAATGTATTCCTAGTACCAAAACCAGGCCTGGATATATTTGTCCCGAGCATCTTTATCCAAATGATGCTTTGTAACCTAATGGACCATGCCATCAATGACATTTTCTTCATAGACATAGTGGCAGATTTCAATAGTTATCTTGTAGGCCAAGAGGATCAAATAAAAGAGCAATCTGATTGAAGCTCTCCAAGCTTTGGAGGGCTTGCTGGACTGGCTGAATGGATAGGTATATTTAGTATGTTTGGGGGAATGGATGAACTTCATGGCCAGCACCAGTCCCTGTGAAGTCCTCCACGACTCAGCTAAGCTTTTTTACAAATAGAAGAGTAGCAGTGGGTTTGGAATTGCTCCTGCTGAGGACCGCCTGGTTGCAACATCTTTCTGGTATCATTTATGTTAAACCCATGTGTTCTAATAGGTCTCTGCCTGGGTAAGGGTTCACATTCGATTATGAAATCGAAGCAGCTTAACAAAGTGATGCCTTGTTAATCAGAGGTCATTATCTCATTTCTCTTCTCAGCTCAGCCAGGACCTGAGTAACCCCGCCTACAGGAGAAACTGACTAATGAGTATAGGTCTCTGTCACATTCTGAAAGTTGAATCTCTGAGTTTCTTTTTCCTTGCCTGAAAGATGGGGCAAATCCTTTACCTTACTTCTTTCAGGGTGGTTTTGTGCCAACTCAAACAGACTATACTATAGAGGAACAGCTTTCTTCTGACTTTAATGGGGTCTTTCATCTTTGTATGGATGGTAAGGGATCTGAAGGCTAAGTAATTCCCTCCATGTCATCATATTTGGAGCGTCAGTTTCTGAGCACATGTTATGTGCTTAGAAGCTCAGTCCATCTTGGGTCTTAGTCTTCTGAGGGCCCATGTACTCGATTTTTCTTTGTAAATTTTGTAACATTCTTTGGTTGTGGATGGGGGAAGGAGGTTGAAAATATTAATAGAAGCTGAATATAGCCACTTTTGCTTTTTTTTTTTCTGTGGAAGTTTTTTTCATTTTAGCTTGTCCAAGGACCACAAGGCTGCTGTCCATGGCCTAATATCTCCTCTGACTCTTGCTCAGACTATTATATTCTGGTGAGATATACATTCTGGTGAGCTCCTAATAAATGCAAAACACTTTTATTTTGCCAAATTTATCTATCTATCTATTTATTTATTTTTAAAGATTTTATTTATTTATTCATGAGAGACACAGAAAGAGAGAGGCAGAGACATAGGCAGAGGGAGTAGCAGGCTCCATACAGGGATCCCGATGGGAGACTTGATCCCGGAACTCCAGGATCATGCCTGGAGGTGAAGGCAGATGCTCAACCACTGAGCCACCCAAGTGTCCCATATTTTGCCAAATTTAAAAAGAAAGTCCCATAATTTTCTGGTATGAATCATAAACCTTGGTCTGTTTGATTTACTGAGCACATAGAAGATGCTCAATGAATATTCTATGTACCTGCTCGATGAATATTCATTGAATAGATGAATCCAGGAGTTGTGACCTTAAGAGAGTAAAAGATTGGCAGCCCCGGTGGCTCAGGGGTTTAGCGCTGCCTTCGGCCCAGGGAGGGATCCTGGAGACCCAGGATTAAGTCCCACGTCGGGCTCCCTGCATGAAGCCTGCTTCTCCCTCTGCCTGAGTCTCTGCCTATCTCTCTATGTTCTCATGAATAAATAAATAAAAATCTTAAAAAAAAAAGAGAATGAAAGATTTAATAAATTGTTTTTATTTTAGGGTTTTGTTTTGTTTTTACCAGAATAGGAACTAAGGAATACTGGTATTTAAAATGTCTCTTCTTCCCTCTTCTTTCTCAGGGCTTCTTCATCTTGGTGTTTGGAACAATTCTGGATCCAAAGGTATTGTAAATTCTTCCTCTTTTTCTTTTCTTTTTTCACTATCAGTATTTAGCCCTGAAATCCTCACTTGTAAAGACCACTTATTGAGCATCTTCAACCTCAGTCTGTGCAGATACTTGCACAGGGCATCACTCTTCTTTAGGATGCAAATAATATCTACCATCTTGCAAATTCCTACGGAGCTAAGCATTTTATGTAGATTAGCTTTAATCCTAAAACAATCTTGGGTATTCTTATTTTCAGTTTTGTGGATGTGGAAATTGAGACTCAGAGTGATTAAACTTGCCCATAAGCTCTACAGAAACCCACTTGAACAAGGTGAAGCAGAAAGAGGATTTATTAAATCTTACAATATCATCTTTGGGAAGGTCTCTCTGGCTTGGAGGCTTGAGGCTACATACCAGGAACAATTCCCAATCCATAGCACAGAACTAGACACCAGTACTTGTCACCACTTTCCTGGGCACAGATAGCACAGTTCACCAGGCCAAGGTCAGGCAGCAGATGCTGAGCTAGACCTGTTGCTCCTGTTGTCTTGGAGGTCACCTCTGGTGTGCCTGTTGGGGCCTGCTGGCTCTTGCATCTTTGCACTGTCATGTCTGATTGGTTGAGTCCAGGTCACATGGCTGCATGCTAGCTGCAAGAGAGATTGGGACGGTGAGTTTTACCCTAAAGAGCAGTAGACTCAGGGGGGTGAGTTTTCCAAATACAGAGGAGTGTGTATAGGTGGTAAGTGGTGAAAACAGATAAAAACTAAACAAATGAATAAAATATCCAATGTTTACTCAGGCTTCCAAGATTACCCTCTTTCCTTTGTATGACATTGCCTCCTAGAATGAGCAAAGCAAACAACTATCTCAAATGTAGACACAAACACCTTCACTGCAAGGTTGATTTTTGATTAATTGACTAATTAATTAACTAATTGACTATCAATGCTATTCTATTATTAATTAATTAATTAATAGCTGAGTTTTGTGAAAGAGGCATTTCACTCTGGTCCTTTCATTTTGTTATGAGCATACCATGTTGACCTAATAAAAATGATTTGCAGGTGGCAGAGTATTAGTGTTTCAGTCCTATGTACTACCTGTGCATTACGGGGAGAGTCTCAACTCTCAGGGACTCAGACACCCCAAATGGAATGCAGAGATAATGATGACTTTCCTGCCTCTTCTACTAGAGCATGGTAAAGAACAAATGTGATTTTGCAAGTGAAAAAACACAGAAAGCACTTAAAGTAGTACACAATTGTGTACCATATGATTTTTTTTATTAATCATAATACCACAGCTAGTATTTATTGTCAAAGTATCATCATCAGCACTATTGCTTACTAACTTACTGGGTGTCATGAGATGTGCAAAGACCTCTAAGACATAGAACTTTCTACCAAGATCAAGACCTCTTACATTTAAAATTATAATGTAAAAGGTCAAGACTTAAAGATGTCACAGGACCATACATGATTCATTGACATAAAGTTGCAGATACCAGTAATCTTCACATTTTTAGGGTCAGTAAAAAGCAGTGAGCATATGTCCCCAGATGTGTTTATTATAAATTTACAAAGTATGTATTTTGCATGTTGTGAAACTTAAAATTTAAGAAGGATGAGATAAAAACAAACAAACAAATGTAAATAGAAGCTCTAGGCTGTCTTCTCATAAACCCATGGATTCTTGAGTGCAAGTGCCCAAACCTCAGGGAGTGCTCCTTACCCTCTGGAGCCTGTGTGTGACAAAAAATATGGCATTTTCTGAGAAGGGTGAAGTCACTCTGAGCTGGAGGAGTTTGGTACCCTTTAAGAACAAACTACAAGTCCTTGGAAGGTGAATAACATTTTATCAAGTAAAAGGGAAGAAGGAATAGAAATAAGAAGACAGTGCCTGCATTCAGCAGGAGAGATTTAGGGGAAAATGACAGGTTGGTCTGGAGTCTGGGGACATGAACTCAAGTCTGGGTTCTTTTTTTTTTATTTTTTTTTTATTTATGATAGTCACACAGAGAGAGAGAGAGAGAGAGGCAGAGACATAGGCAGAGGGAGAAGCAGGCCCCATGCACTGGGAGCCTGACGTGGGATTCGATCCTGGGTCTCCAGGATCGCGCCCTGGGCTAAAGGCAGGCGCTAAACCGCTGCGCCACCCAGGGATCCCAAGTCTGGGTTCTTCTCAGTAGACAGCTGACTTTGGGTGTCACTTCATCTCCTAATCTTAATGTCCTCAGTTGTAAAATGGAAATAATAGTACCTCTTTTACAGGATTCCTTTTTTTTTAATTTTTAAAAAGATTTTATTTATTTATTCATGAGAGACACAGAGAGAGAGGCAGAGACACAGGCAGAGGGAGAAGCAGGCTCCATGCAGGGAGCCCGATGTGGGACTCAATCCTGGGACCAGGATCACACACTGAGCCAAAGGCAGACGCTCAACTGCTGAGCCACCCAGGTGTCCCAACATGATTCTTTTTTGAATAAAATGAGATAATAGGCATGAAAAGTGATTTAACATGTTTTGTAAAAAAATGTAAACATAAAATAAAATATAATTTAAGAAACAAAATGTATTTGATAAATTACTTAATATATAAATATGCTACATCAACATTATATCATGTTAATTTATATTATTATACAATATATCATATATTAATAACATATTATTAATACACAAACATGCTACATTAGTATTATGTGAATTTACATTATTATATATTATTATATAATACATTAATATTATATTATATTACATTATACTATTAATATACAATATATAATCAAATATATGATACATTATTTAATATGTATTAAATATATTAACATTTCATATTTATATTTACATTATACCTATTTAATATATATTTAAAAATAAAATATACTTATTATTCTTATTTTCTTTATTCTATGGGCTTTTGCTATGTTGCATAAAATTCTCTTATTTTTGAACTATGGGTTGGCTTTTAGAAAGGGCTTTTTTTTTTTAAAGATTTTATTTATTTATGAGACAGAGTGAGAGAGTGAGCACCAGTGGGGGGAGAAAGAGAAGCAGACTCCCCACTCAGCAGGGACCCCAATATGGGGCTTGATCTGAGGATCCTAGAATCATGACCTGAGCCCAAGGCTGACGCTTAAGGGACTGAACCACCCAGATGCCTCTAGAAAGAGGGGTTTAAATAACAGACAAGCTATGGGAAATGTTCAACTATTCATTGCGCTCCTGAAACCTACCCCCAAAGTGAAATCAAAGATTCCTCAGACTTGTGGCAAACTTGGCAAAAGGTGAGCCACAGGGGTCACCTTTAAGACCTTGGAAAATGAGTCTCCTATGGCAGCCTCATTTTTCTTGTGTCTCCCCCTCTCCCCACCTTTTCTCAAGGCCCTCCTCCAAGTTACTGATCCCACCACATCCCACCACCAGAACCAGGCGGGTAACATATTCCCTCACCAGTGTTCGCCAGGCCTGAGCACCTGCGTTGACTCCTCATCATCTTTTAATTCTTAATTCCTTTTGGTCTCTATCCAGATAAGAGAAGCTTTAAAGGGTCGAGTAACTTCTGCAAAATGGATCTCCAGAATATCTGAGGTAAAGTCTCCATATTCATTATTGTGGGATGTGGTGTGTTGCCCAAATGATCACCTTAACACTCAGTGGCATGGGTGTTTCAGAAGTGCCAAGTTAGCCCCTCTCTGAACTGTTGAGATTCTTTCTGGAGTAGTGGGACCACATCTAAAGAGATGAAAGCAGATTTATATGCATGCAGAAGGGAGTGGCCCGGTGGGAGCATGGCTGGGAGTTGCTGGAGGGGCAAACCTCAACCCAGGTAGCAGGAAAGCATGAGAAATGAGAGAAGAGAAAAAACCAGCTTCCTGTGACAGCCTGCTGGTTCTTTACAACTCCAGTCGGCCAAACCATGTCTGAAGTATAGAAATCCAGGGAAAAAAATTCAGACGCTACACAGAGAACTTCCTGGTAGCTTGGTTTTCCAGACGGGCTGGCCACCTTGGTTACTGGAGATGCAAAGGAGGGCCCAGCACCTGCTGAACAGTGTGACTGAAAAGACTCAATGATCTAGTGGCACACACGCCCTTTCCTTGACCTTCCCTTCCACAGTGTAGAAACCGTGTATTTTTGTGCCAAGGTTGACTCCTTAGCTGTTCTGAGAGAAACACTGGAAAATGTTTGAATGGCAGCAACCAGGGCGGGGCGGGGGGGGGGGTCAGGGCTGGCCCAGGGGACATTCCCAATCACAAGAAAAGAGGCAATCTAGAGTTTCCCATGCTGACATTAGATGGGATCCATACCCACTGTGGGGCTGGCACCCCATGGCCCCAAGTAGCAGCTCTGCTCCCCCCCCCCATATCCCTTGCCTTTCTCATCTCTCCCCTTTGATTTCTTTAACCCTCCTTTTACAATTCCCTCCTTTCTCTTCTCTTAACTTTTCTATCTCTTTTGGTGTCATTCCTACCCTAACTTGGTCCTTGGTCTTCAAACCTGGGGGATGGTGGACCCCTCCGTATCCTTTCCAGCTGGAATTTTCAAAAGCGAAGTTTTATTGGGAATGAACATCAGTAATTATTTAAAGCAGTGGGTCTCCACCTTAGCCAAACATTGGAATTAATTAGGAAGCTTCAAAAAATTTTTGCCTGAGTCCTACCCCTGGAGAGTCTAATTGGATTGCCTGAGGTGTGTCTGGGAATTTACACGCTCCCCAGGTGGTTCTAATGTGGTTGATGCTGAGACCCTTTCCTGCTCGCCTTCCTGAAGGACCTAGCATCGTGCATATTTGCCTCTAACCAGCCTTCCTGGTTGTTGTCAGTGGTGCTAATATAAAGGAAGGGTTGGATAAAAGGATAAAATAAATTGCTGTAGGTCACCATTCTCTATATGCTTTGAATAATTGTGATAATTGGAAAAGGACCAATAATGATTAAGCGCAATTATGTCTTTGTTGTCAACAGAACCTTTCTACTGATTTCTCTTGTCAGCCCACTAAAGGGCCAAGCTAACAACCCTGGCTATACCCCTACCTTGGGAGGTGAGTGGGAAGGAAGGGGGTTCTCAAATGCATGCTGTATATATGATACTTCTTTTTAAAACATCACAATGTGAGTCATGGTAATTAAGAATGATTTCTTTCGGGACGCCTGGGTGGCTCAGTGGTTGAGTGTCTGCCTTTGGCTCAGGGAGTGATCCTGGGGTTCCGAGATTGAGTCCCGCATCAGGCTTCCTATAGGGAGCCTGCTTCTCCCTCTGCCTGTGTCTCTGCCTCTCTCTGTGTCTCTCTGAATAAATAAATAAAATCTTAAAAAAAAAAAGGAATGATTTCTTTCTTAATCGAAAGGCTTCTAATATGATCCATTCTCTTCTTGGTATGGTTGATGTTCACACTTCTAATTGTTGCACAACTGAAATTTTTTTGTTGCTGTAGAACAATGAGGTGTATCTGAGAAGGATTATAAAAGTTAGCCTGAGTGTATGTATGTATGTATTTATTTTTAAGATTTTATTTATTCATTCATGAGAGACACAGAGAGAGAGGCAGAGACACAGGCAGAAGGAGAAGCAGGCTCCCCACGGGGACCCTGATGTGGAACTTGATCCCAGGACCCTGGGATCATGACTTGAGCCAAAGGTGGATGCTCAGCGACTGAGCCACCCAGGTGCCCCTAGCCTGAGTGTATTTAACAGGGGAGTGAGCAGAGGTGCCAGCTCTAGATGGCTGTGCGTCCTTTCCCTCTCAACCTCCCCATTCCAAAGACCTGATACCAACAATATCTCCACCTATCCCCACTCGGGCCCCTCTCTTTCCCTAGCGTGAGAAGATCAAGGAATTATCATAAACACTATCTGTGAGAGGCTTCAGGGATAATGAAGAAGTTAGTTCACTTTTGAGGTAACGTCTAAGAGACAGAGGCATAGGAACAGAGGGAAAGGGGCCACAGGGGGAGACAGAAGTACAGAGACGCTGAGGGGCGTGGTGACTCTGGGTTGATAGCCACCTAGATATGTGGACATGTGCAGAAAAGTCTTCCAATCCTTTGTGTCCATGTCTCTAAAGAGCTAGAGAGAGAAAATCAGACAGGGATATGGAGACACTCACAACAGGATACCCACATTCACAGTGAGTTGGAGAGATGCAGAGACAGGCCAAGGGTTACAGACAGAGATCCAGAAAACACACAAAGAAACAGAGATGTATTACAGAGACTGAGGCTCACTCAGAGACACATAGAGAGTGACAGAGACAGAGTGGAGAGGGAAGCAGAGAGAGATACTCACATATGTAGACAGAGCTTCCCTCCCCACCCCAATCTGGGCTCCGGTAAGCCACTGTGGCTGAGACCTTCTGTGGCAGCCCAGGGCCTTGTACAACAAAAGGGGTCTTTTCCAAATGGAAAGGAAGTGGTCCAACCTACTGAAAGACAAGGTTTGTATCTCGACACTTGTAGGCAATAGAAAACCAGCCCGGGGGATCCCTGGGTGGCCCAGCGGTTTAGCGCCTGCCTTTGGCCCAAGGTGTGATCCTGGATTCCCGGGATCGAGTCCCACATTGGGCTCCCTGTGTGGAGCCTGCTTCTCCCTCTGCCTGTGTCTCTGCCTCTCTCTGTGTGTCTCTCATGAATAAATAAATAAAATCTAAAAAAAAAAAAATAAAGAAAACTAGCCCGTTCCCTGGATTGCAGAGTGACTTAAAAGATTCTCCATTTGCCAAGGGGACTCTACCCAAAGGGGTTCATTGTTCCAGAAAGAGTGAGCCCATAATGCAGCTGTTGTGAAGCTTTTGGGTCTTGCTGCTTGTTCTTTAAAGTTGTGGTTTTCTGTTCTTGACAAGGTCATACATTCGAGGAATAGCAGAGCCCCAGAAAAAATGTGTTTATTCCTGTCTTCTTGCCCCCAGGGAGTATGAAGGAAGCCTCCCATGCTGTGCTACTGATGGAGGAGTACATGAAGTACGGGAAGAATGGAAGGCCCGTCTGTCTAAGCTGTTCTGTGCTGCTAAACATTGTCCCCCAAGAACTGTCAACACATAGATAGATATGCCATGCTGGGCACCATTGAGGGAACAGAAAGACAAAATGGGCTGCAGCAGGACCCTGGTCTTGTTGGAGCCTCCCGTTCCATGCTGTTGGGTCATGTTTATCCTCAGGAAGAGAGAATGGTTCATCTTGGCAGAGGTAGCCTGGGATGTCACCTGGCTGGATTTTGTGGGTTGCTAAGGGAGGGGCCCTCATGAATACTCACCAACGGTTGGACTGACTCTAAGTAGGTTCATTGCTGGCTCCTTGTACAAAAGGAATCCAACTGCCAGCATAGTCCACCTGTACAAATTTAAATGGATTACATGGTTAGCTGGCTGGGGCTTAGATGTAACTTGGCTGTGAGCCAAGACAAAAACATAGAACTTTTGAACCAGAAAGATGCTCACTGTAGGTTAAAGAGCCTGGAGCCTGGAGTGATGGGCCACAGCTAATCAAGGCTTGAGCCAGAGCTAGAAACCGAAGTCTGCAGGCTTTCAGCTCTGGACTTGCTCCTCAAGACACAGAACCTTTGAGGCATTCTGTCTACTCCGATGATATAAGATTAACCCTCACCGACAATATGTTTTTTCTGAAACCAGTGATGAGGAAGGGAGACTATCATATTTCAAGTACAGAGCTGCTCATTTTCTTAACCTTGTATGTAAACAAATTTGATGCTCAAATAAAGAGCCACCTGATAGCAGTACAATAGGTAGATGCCCCTTTGGAAGGGAAAAAGCTCCTTTATAAAGCAAGTACCCAGCCTGATGCATCAGAAGCAAATGGGTGGATAAAGGAAAAGGAGGCTGTGAATCCCCCTAATTATCCTACCAAGAAGCCATATTAATGATGTTGCATTACAAATGGAAAAGTGAGACACACTTGGTGAATGACTAGGGTCTCTCTCTTTTTTACTGTAAAAAACTTTCTCTATGTAAGGAAGTTTGCAAAAGCAAAAAATATAATAAAAAAGTCAATCAGAAGGTAGAAAAATACACCAACCTGCAGAGTAAGTCACCTTTCAAGTGGCATTGCTAATCTTGAGACAACAGTCATATTTTTCTCAAATGAAGTCAGAAAGGGATTTTAATTTGACATTTCCCTAGTTATTTCTGAAGTCTTTTCAAGGGAAGGGAGTGGGGAAGGCACAGTCCCAGTTTTCATAATGTAGAGATCCCAGTACAAAGAAATGCAACTTACCAAGAGTCAATATGCTGAAGAGAGGGTGGAATCTCATGAAGCTAAATAGTTACAGGATTAGAAATCTGGAAAACCTGTAGAAAAGACTGGGTCCAATAGCCTCATTTTATAGATGGGAACTCTGGGTACCAACAAGAGAGAGACTGGGCTTTCATCTGTATTGTGCATTAAACAATAAACAGTCCAATGTAGCATGAAAGCACACTCTACTCAGATGTAGAGTACTTCCTAGGATGGGATGGCAGTAAAGACGTTCTGCCTTGGGATTATTATTAACCAAGAAAGGGCTCATGGATGCTAACAGAGAAACTCCAGAAGTTTTTTGGAAATCCCTTGAAGAAGCTGTGCCTTCTTTCCTATAGCGCGCAACCCACACTGTCCCATCCTGAAAGTATCAGTGAACTGCATGGTTAGCTTGACTGTGGAAGACCCCGAGTAGAGACCTATTCAATGTCTTACTCACACCTCACCAAGGAGATGACTTGGTCAGGTGGCTCAAGGAGAAATTGGTGCTACCGGTGTCTAAGGCCAGATTCATGGTTAGACACTTAAGGCATGATGATCCTTGGGAAAGTTATTTAAATTCCTTAGATTTGGATTTCCTCAGCCATAAATTAGAAAAATAGAGTCTATCTCATAGGGTCATTGTAAAGATTAAATGAGTAGTGGTGTAGGTAAAATACTTAGGATAATATTTGGCCATTAAAATGTTAGCCATTTTTGTTAAAGTACCTGTCAATTCACGTACACACACAGACACAAGAGAACAAACAGCCATGGCCTTTTGCATAAGTTTGGAGGTTGACACTCTCATGGAAGTTATTTCATTGACTTCTAAAGAAAAGAATTAAGCATTTGATTCAGTCTGTTCAACATTAGGGGTAATAAGCTGATTTTACCATTGGAACAATTCTTTCATTCAGTGTTACCATGGCTGTGATATAGAGTCCCCTGCCTAGGAGAGACTATGGGGTTCTATTCGGGACACATTCTTGAGCTCTGCTTCACTTGTTGCCTTCTCTGTGACGTCTTCCCCATGAGTCCATCCTGAAGTACTGACTGTCCCCACCTGATTCCTATAATATTTATAATCTGTGCCACTCACTTTATATTTAGTATTTATTGTGTTTTGTTGTTTGTTTACTTTTTGTCTTTTGGTATATATATTTTCTTTCTTGGATAAGACTGTAAGCCTTTGGGGATAGGGTAACTCACTTTATTTACTCACTATGTTACTTCCTTTTGTATGCCCAGAGTGCAGAGCAAGGTATCTTGCACATAGAACATGTCCAATAAAGGCTTTTGATTACACAACCAAAGGTTTGATGATACTGGCTTTTCTCTTTCCAAACAACCTGGTACTTAACTAGTAACCTCCGTAGAAATGATCTGTTTCCACAAACATGACCTCCTTAATCTTCCTTACTATAAAAGATGTAACAAAAGTGTCTTTCCCTTATTTCTCCTTCTTGTCAACATTCCCCTGGTAATATTTAAATGACAATTTGCATTATTTTGTGGTTGTGAGGGTACGTAAATAGAAGACACTGGAATTGAGATGTGTGGGGTTTGCTGTTGAGAGAGGAAACCCACCCTGGCCACCCTGTCAGAAGTCAGATCACTTGAAATTTCCTGCAAGTGGAGACTGTGCCTTCTGTGTCCAAGGCTCAATAAAAACTCCTGGCCCAGTTTTTAAAAAATAAAACAAAAATGTCTTTGGTGTAAGATAGGGGTTAGATCATGATTTACTGATCCACTTGCTAGCCAGCTTTGCCTCAACCTCAACGTCAACACAGGCAAAAACGTGATAACTCTTGAAACCCATCATCCACAGTGGCACCACTTTGCATTATATTCCCAGTGTTCTAATCACAACACTGCAGTAGATGCAACATGGTCTCATGTGATTGAGATAAAGGTGAGGAACTGAAATGCAAACAAGTGACTCATTTTAATGGATTTACTCCAGACAGGAGAAACCTGTAATTTCTCTTAGGCGTGCTTGATGGACCCATCGTGGAGTGAATCACAGACTTACACAAGCCTTGAAACCCCGGGCGGTTTTAGAGTTCTCAGAGAGGCTCCTCACAACAAGTGGCTGGTGTGCACCTGGGCCTCTTGGATTTCCCTTTCAAAAATGGGAGTAGAGGGATCTCGGGCACTGAAGGGGGACCATGGGCAGTGTGAGGGCAGGCACACGTGATGGTGGGGTGCATTGGCGGGAAGCTCGGTGCCAACTCTCCTTCTGGGCTGCCAGATTTCCTGAATGCGGTGAGTACTCATGGAACAACAAAACCTGTCTCCTACTGAAGACCGGATTGGTCTTGTGTGTATTCCAGAATGGGAAAAACGTGTAATTTATGGTGGTATTTTCTCAAATTCTTGATTCTGCTGGAAGCTTTCTTGATGTTATTTCGAAATTGGCTGGCTCTAGGTTAAAGTATTTCCTAGATCTCTCTTACATTTATTTTTCTTTAAAAATCATTTGTCAGGATCTAATTGCTCATTCCTAGGAGTGAAAATGCAAAGCACCTTGTCAGGCAATTAGACTCTGTTTTCTGATTGTCCCTTTGATTGATAAAGTGGATAAGCAAATCAGCTTTCAATTCCCTTCTTTTAGGCTGAATGTAAAGTCGTATATCCATATTTTTATAATGTATTCTTTAATAGTTCCTTCTTATAGTGGAGCTGGCAAAGCTGTCTTTATATCAACTTAAAAGGAAACATTTCCTCCAGTTACTGCCAAACCTTTTTGCAAAGGCATCTACCCTTGTTTTGAGTGGTCTACCGTACACCATTTAATGACCTATATACCTTGTACTCTGAGGACATTGTAGCCTTTCAAATGTGCATCATAAGGTACTATTTTTTATTTGTGTCAGGGCTCCAGTGAGCTTTCTTCATGGAGCCAAGCAATTGCCTGGTTTATCAATTACTTTAAAATCCTCTAAGTCTCAAGATAGTTGGTGAGAGGAAGGCTAGATACCTTCCAGCTCTGAAATCATGTGATTCTTCAAACATAACAGTATTTGAACCACACTGCAATTCTCAGAAATGATACTGAGCTACAACGAGATTGGCTGGAAGCCATCTAAAATAGCCCAGGATAAGATGCTTCTGATTCTAATAGATCTTTTATATCTTTCTTTCCCCCAAGGCTCTTTATGAAACAGCTCCTCCATGGCAAGGGAAAACTGGTAAGAGTGACTGAATCCATTCTGTTACTGAGGCCAAGAAACACGCAAACAACGTGTTCAGCCATCTGACTCTATAATCAGTGCTCTAATCATACCAGCAGAGTAGATGGAGTGTATGGTTATGAAATTCAGATGAGGGGAAAAAAACAGACACACACCCCAACATGTGGGTCAGCAGACTCACCCTCAGTTAACCTCTCTGAATTGGTCCTTCCCATCAAAGGGATTGGTCAACAAGTGTGAGGTGACTTGCTGCCTAGAAGGTTACCCAACAAGTAGAGTAGGCCCTTCTTCTTGCGTTGTGGTGAAGTTCATGGAGGGGAACACTTTGGGGGAAATGTCCACTTCGTTTGCAAACGTCCTGTCCAGCTTACCTTGGGGTGTTCAGTGTGGAGGGGTCTGAGAGATCATGGCTTTCCATGTATTCCTTCCTGACTGACAGTGGTCACTGTTCCCAGGCTGTGCCTTTTTAAAATTTGCTTTGAGAGTCCTTGATGCTAGCCCTCGCACAGCATGTCCAGGCAGGTGGGGAGCGCCTCAGTTCCATGAGTCATATCCTACAACCCCATTCTAGTGCAGATCAAAAACAAGCTCTAGGACCCAGGCAGACTGATTGTACTTCTTAATTTCAATTCATTCAGAAACTCAGCTCTTAGTACAAGAGGGGTGGGACAAATAGGAGATGGTGTTTGAGAACAGGTGGGGCCTTCTAAGGCTGTCCAAGAGAATGTTTTGTGTGTTCTGACCGTGGAGACAGGGCAGAAAGGATACTTGTACTGCCATGCCTGGGGCAGACATCATTAATCTGGCATGGCATTGTCTCTTGCTGCACCTAAGCGGGACCTCACAATCCTTTTGCACATGGGATCCAGGTAGTATAACAAAGAGGAAGGCAGGGGGCATGTCTACTTAAGTCACCAGGTTCCAAAATGATCTAGAGCTGTACATATGCTCACCTTCCCCTCTAAGAGAAGTTGCCTTGTGATTTTAAAAACTTCAGAAATTTTCTCTGTGGGGGCCACTCATTTACTCATTCTCCGTGGGAGCCATTCACATATTCATTCATTCATTCATTCATATCTAACACACGCTGACTGGGTAGCTACTATGCATCTTACACTCTGCTGGATACTGGGGACAGAGAAATTTCCCTTCTTGTTCACCTCCTAATGACAACCTGATTTTTTGTTTGTTTGTTTGTTTTGGTCTGTTTTGCTAGGTGCGGGCTAATTTTTCTCAATCTTGGGCCTGGGAGCACTAAGTCTTGTGTTCTGTTGACCCCTTGTCATCAGGGCTTAGAGCACAGGCAGTGGTCCAGGAGGCAGCCATTGCTGAGAATTCCCCGGGGAGGGAATCCTGAGCCACATTACCCCTGGGACCCTTCAGTCTAGCTACATTGTCCTCTCACACTCAGGGGTCCAGCAAAGGTGATTTTCTCTCTCTCTCTCTCTCTCTCTCTAAAGTAATCACTCCGTTAGGAGAGTCTGGCTTCCATTCAGTAGCCTAAATTGCTATTTATTATCAAGTGAAAGACAAAAGTGGGTGGTAGTGGGCAATTCACACTTCTGAGGAGGCACAGAGAGAGAGAGGAAGGTTGTGGAAGCAGGGAGGAGGGATTTGGGATGCTACTTTTTTAGTACCTGAGAAGCTGCCAATTCCACTTGCTTGTTGTTTTTATCCCTGAAATAGGCCATCTTTTGGGCACTTTGGGAGCAAGATACAGGACTTATTTCTTTGTAAATGTTAGATAACTATTTACTTAATTACCACAGAAGCCTCAGGCGCTAAGTTTTGCATGTGGTTTTCTCTTCCTCTTTTAAATTCTGCATTTCTGAGCCTGCCTTCCCCTTCCTGTGATTATCCTGAACATCTGATTGTCATCCCACCCATGCCTGCCTTTCCTCACCTCTCCACCCAGAGCATCAGGTGTCAGGATAATTCGGACTCTTTTCACTGTTAAAGATGACCTATCCATAGCCTCCTTTCAGGATTCACTAAGGCCAGCTCTGTTATTCTCTGATGCGATACTTTGGGTCACGGTGAGTGACCTCCTATGAAGGTATTAGCATAGGGCCTGGCATGTGGTAGGTGACCAACAAATGCTTGTGGAACCTGAGTCTGATAAATTAATGTGTTCCAAGATGACATATGGTCTTTGAACAGTAGCCTTAAATTCCCCCAGAGCACTTTGGATGATAAAGTAAATTTTGTATAACCAGAGTGAGACAGTGTTTTTACCACAAGGATTCCTAGAAACTTGCTATGCATACAGATATATGTGAGGTGCTGGGGGTGGTGGTGCTGGTATACAACTCTTCTGCAATATATATATATATATATAATTTAGAGAAGGAGAGAGATGGGGGGAGCAAAGGGAAAGGGAGATAATCTTAAGCAGTCTCCATGCCCAATGCAGAGCCCAACTCGGGGCTCGATCTCATAACCCTGAGATCATGACCTGAGCTGAAATCAAGAGTCAGACACTTAACTGACTGAGCCACCCAAGCATCCAAAAATACTTTATATTTGCAGAAAATTTTCAGTTCAGCATTATGCAAAGCTGAAAGTTCACTTTAATTATTAAGTCTTTATCAATGGTCAATCTAAGTATGTTTCTTTCATTCTGTTCTGTAAAATATCAGCCTCTGATCATGAATTATGCTGGATGTACTTTTTTTTTTATGATAGTCACACAGAGAGAGAGAGAGAGAGAGAGAGAGAGAGAGAGAGAGAGAGAGGCAGAGACACAGGCAGAAGGAGAAGCAGGCTCCATGCACCGGGAGCCCGACGTGGGATTCGATCCCTGGCCTCCAGGATCGCGCCCTGGGCCAAAGGCAGGCGCCAAACCGCTGCGCCACCCAGGGATCCCTGTACTTCTTTTTATATTTTAATTACCCATTTCAGAGCTCTTAAGCTCTGGTTTATTGTGTGCTCTGAAGAACACTCTGGATTTTGGCTTCAGCTATCTATATTATGATGGGACAGATTCCGTTCTACTCTTTCTGCTGAGAAGAGAAACACCCATTTGGGCTACCTTGAAAGCATTTCTCAATCTGACCCATCTCTGCCAATCAAAGTAGGCAAAAATAAGAATGCTGTGCCTCCTCTTGGGTAACATTATTAAACATCACCTCCTTCCCACTTGTAATAATTAAAGGTACTTTACCTATAATTATTATAGAAAATGGTAGATGGGTTACATACACCAGACTATAAGAACATGAATGATGAAATAGCAAATTAATTAACCCAAACTTTCCAAACAACTAATTGTGCTCAGTTCAAAGTCTGTGTTTCTTGTGATCCTGCTTATGATTTCATACTACATATAAATTATCTGCTAGTAATTTTTTTCTTAGAAAAAAATAATGTGTCATTATTTCATAATGTTCCACAAAGAGCATAATGATCTACAGAAAATGCCATAATTATTGAAACCTTTACTCCCTGAACACTTTCAGGACCTGTGGACTTATAGAGGCCTTAGCACTGCTCAGGAAAATGGTTTGGACTTCCTAAATCACATCATCACATCACATCACATCACATCACTTCACATCACATCACATCACAACACATCATGTCACTGTGCCAAATGCCTGACTTTCTTCCAACAAGATTAGCTTTAAATAAAGTTCTTATATTGAAGACTGTGGACAGTAAAAGATCTCCTTCTGAAGCCTTAGATAGCAGGCATTATTACTTATAAGTGGCTTCCTGTTGGCTCATCTTCACCCATTTCACTGTGCATTTCAAACCATTGCTCTCTAAGTGGAAGAGAATTGCATTTACCTCAGCATCAGTCCTATTATTTGGCTCTGAATGCAGGTATCTTTTTTCCCTGATGCATATAGCGTGGGAAGAAGATTTCAATAGAATTGTGAAAAATAGTAAAGAGAAGGGACCGAAGGGATCACTTCAGTGGCAGAAGTGAATGATTTTAGACTTGATAATGAAAATGAATCTTCCAGTCTGTATTTCTATTTCTCAAATTGCAGGTTACAATCCATTAGAGGGTTGTAGATTCAATTTAGTAGGGGGCAACCAATTGCTAAAAGAATGTCAGATAGAGTGGAATGCAAGATAAAAATAGTGGATGTAGCAGACAGTCTTGCTCATAGATGGGAAGGATAAGTAATACATAAAGGTTTTTGAAATATAAAAATTACATAATTTTCCAGTTTTATGTATGGATTCCTATATACACGCATATATATGTCTGTACACAATGAGTCATGATGTCAGATCTTTTTTATTATTGTGTCAGGATAAAACACTTTGAAAGTCACTTTGAGAGTATATGTGAAACACATGGATACTTCTAAGACAACTTACACTGGTTTTTCTGGTTTTTCCTTTTGCGATGATGGTCAAAAATCTATCTTAAATAATATTAATATTGCAACTTGCTTAGTGTGCCCATCCACCAATTCGCCATACATGTGAGACCTACTTTCCACCCACTCTTGTAAGATCTTAAATTCCACATACATATCCCAACAACTGCAAATCCATTACCACACTTTGCCCGTCATTCTTCCATGTTCCCTTTCCCTTGCTCAGACTTGCTCTGCAAGATGATAGTGTAAGTCAAAAACACTTCCTCCCCTGTTCATTGGTTAGGAACTCGAAGAATTTTAAGCTCAAAGACAATCTGGAGCCTTCCTCTAGGTGCTGTGGCTCGTCATCTTATGTGAAGGCTCACTGGAGTTGTGACAGTCCATATTAGTCTTGAGTCCACTCAGGAAGGGCTTGATCCCTGATCAGTGAGTTTTGTTTGCTCCCTGGCCACAGATTGCCTGGTGAGCCTAGATGGATCAGAGTCAGTTCACCTCCATCAAGGAATTTACGTTTGCTGAGGCCCAGTTTCTGCTTGGCCTTGTTGACTAGACACAGTACATAGATGGTCTCTCTTCTCACTATTGGTTTGATTTGTCAGCATTCCCTACTGGAAATGACAGCACCCTTTATTTCTCTACCCCCAGCATCTGGCACAGTTCCTGGCAAATAGGAGGCACCTGATAAACAGTGGTTGGTACAAATGTAATCATGGCACATTTTTTGAAATGGATGAGAAAGAAAACAGGCTAAGCAAAGGTTAAACAGTTCATCAATAGTGTAAATATGATTAATAACTTAGCTTATGCTGCCTCTGAAATCCATGACATTTTCACTTTGCTGCATCTGTACTACCAGGGAAATCATTTTAAGGAGCTTTGTTTCCAATAAATGGTCTTAGTTTGCACTATCCTATAAAAAAAGAATGGTGGTGATGAGAATGATGATGTTGATTAATTTCAACTGTTGTAAAGATGCTTTCTTGGAGATTTGTCTTTGAAAGGTAGAACTATCAAGAAAAAGGCTTCATCAAAATAAAAAAATGTAACTATGTGTTGTGACAGATGTTAACTAGACTTACAGTTTCACAAAAACATAAATATTGAATCATTATGTTGTACACTTGCAACTAATATAATGTTACAAGTCAATTATATATTAAAAAATAAAAAGGCAAGAAACAGAGATATGGCCGAAGAATAGAAAGTGATCTTCTCAGGCTTCTAATTTCTCTGTATAATAGTTGATCCATCCATAAGAGAGAGTCTCAGTGCTTGCTCCAGTAACAGACAATAGTGTATATTCATTTCAAGTTGCTTGACTCCATATGCCTAGAAAGACAGTATACTGTAGAACAGTAGTTCTCAACTGGGGGCAATTTTATCTCCCAGGGCACATTTGGCAATGTCTGGAGACATTTTTGGCTGTCACAACTGGGGAGGAGGCTGTTCCTGGCACCTCATGTATAGAGGCCAGAGTTGTTACTATACGTCCTACAACTCACAGGACAACACCCAACAACAAAGAATCCAGCCCCAAATGCCAATAATACCATTACTGAGAAATCCCACTCTAGAGCTTGGCTTTCCAGCTGTACCATCTGGGTTGAACTTTCGGCTCCCCACTTTTTATTTGAGTGACCTTAGCTCACAGTTGCTCCACACTTCATACCTTAGCTTCTCCATTGATAAAATGAAGATGTAATACTGTCTTATGTCATCTGATTAAATGAGTTAATGCAAAGAAAATGCTCAGAACAGTGATTGGCAAATAAAAGTGTTTGATAAATGTTATTATTACAGAAAATTGTGGATTAAACGATCAGAAATGATGCTTTGGTGAACATACATCTTTCTTGGTGGTTCCATCATTCCTGTCTATTTTTTGTAGACAAGTTAACAGTTGAGAGAAAGGCTTTTCTTTCTTTCTTTCTTTTTTCTTTTTTACATGTTAGCTGGCCTGAAAGTAGATGTTGGTGTCCTTTCTTGGAGCAGGATGTTTTGGTGTGGACATCTCAGAGTACTCAGTAGGGTCACCAAGTGGTTGGTTAGTTGGCTAAGGGTTTTTTTTTTTTTTTTAATTATTATTCATGTGAGAGAGAGAGAGAGGGAGAGAGAGAGAGAGAGGGAGAGAGAGAGAGAGAGGGAGAGACACAGGCAGAGGGAGAAGCAGGCTCTCCACAGGAGCCCAATGCAGTACTTGATCCCAGGCCCCAGGATCACGCCCTGAGTCAAAGGCAGACTCTCAACCGCTGAACCACCCAGGCATCCCGAGTTGGCTAAGTTTTGTATTGTTTGGCCTTATCACCTCCAGCTGGATTTAGTTTCATTCTGTATTGCAGGTGAAGATCCTAATGTATGAAAATGAAGTCCCAAGCAACCATGATTTGCTGTTTAATGTTATTTCTGGCCACAGAATGTTCTCACTATAGATCCAAGATGCACAGAAAGGTAAGTTTGATCCATTTTTAGGTGGTCCCATGAGATATCTGTCTGTTCTCCTAGATGGCTAAATTTATTATAAATAACATAATCTTAAATAAATTTTCAAATGACTACAATTTTACTCCTGCTGATAGTTTTTTTTTTTTTTAAGGGAACAAAGACAAATTGAGAGGTGGCTGGGCCTTGTAACAGTACATTTGCAGGGTGCAACAAATGTAATAATATAGTTGAAAAATCACTTTGCAAGCCACAAAATACGTAGATAGGCCGCTGTTGGGAGGAGGAAGTACTAGCCTGGCAGCTAGCAATTCAGCCCCAGACCTTAACTTTGCTTCTCATTAGTTGCACAAGTTGTTTTGCTTCTTTGAATCTTAATTTCTTTATCTATAACATAGGGTGTTTTGTTCATTTATTTTTATTTATTTTACTTTCTATTTTTGTATATTTTTTTTATTGGAGTTCATTTGCCAACATATAGCATAACACCCAGTGCTCATCCTGTCAAGTGCCCCCCTCAGTGCCTGTCACCCAGTCACCCCATCTCCCCTTCCACCATCCTTTGTTCATTTCTCAGTGTTAGGAGTCTCTCATGTTCTCTTTCCCTCTCTGATTTTTCCCACTCATTTTCTCTCCTTTCCTCTATAATCCCTTTCACTATTTTTTATATTCCCCATATGAGTGAAACCATATCATGACCATCCTTCTCCAATTGACTTATTTCACTCAGCATAATACCCTCTAGTTCCATCCATGTCGAAGCAAATGGTGGGTATTTGTCGTTTCTAATGGCTGAGTAATATTCCATTGTATACATAGACCACATCTTCTTTATCCATTCATCTTTCGATGGACACTGAGGCTCCTTCCACAGTTTGGCTATGGTGGACATGGCTGCTATAAACATCAGGGTGCAGGTGTCCTGGCATTTCACTGCATCTGTATCTCTGGGGTAAATCCCCAGCAGTGCAATTGCTGGGTCGCAGTGCAGTTCTATTTTTAACTTTGAGGAGCCTCCACAGTTTTCCAGAGTGGCTGCACCAGTTCACATTCCCACCAACAGTGCAAGAGGGTTCCCCTTTCTCCACATCCTCTCCAACATTTGTTGTTTCCTGTCTTGTTAATTTTCACTATTCTCACAGGTGTGAGGTGGTATCTCATTATGGTTTTGATTTGTATTTCCCTGATGGTCAGTGATGTGGAACATTTTCTCATGAGCTTGTTGGCCATGTGTAGGTCTTCTTTGGTGAAATTTATGTTCATGTCTTTTGCCCATTTTATGATTGGACTGTTTGTTTCTTTGCTGTTGAGTTTAGTAAGTTCTTTATAGATCTTGGATACTAGCCCTTTATCTGATATGTCATTTGCAAATATCTTCTCCCATCCTGTACGTTGTCTTTTAGTTTTGTTGACTGTTTCTTTTGTGTGCAGAAGCTTTTTATCTTGATGAAGTCCCAATAGTTCATTTTTGCTTTTGTTTCCCTTGCCTTCATAGATATATCTTGAAGAAGTTGCTGTGGCCAAGTTCAAAAAGGGTGTTGCCTGTGTTCTCCACTAGGATTTTGATGGATTCTTGTCTCACATTTAGATTTTTCAACCATTCTGAGTTTATCTTTGTGTCTGGTGTGAGAGAACGGCCTAGTTTAATTCTTCTACATGTGGCTATCCAATTTCCCCAACACAATTTATTGAATAGACTGTCCTTTTTCCAGGGGATATTCTTTCCTGCTTTGTTGAATATTAGTTGACCATAGAGTTGAGTGTCCACTTCTGGGTTCTCTACTCTGTTCCATTGATCTATGTGTCTGTTTTTGTGCCAGTACCACACTGTCTTGATGATCACAGCTTTGTAGTACAACTCGAAATCCGGCATTTTGATGTTCCCAGCTATGGTTTTCTTTTTCAGTATTCCTCTGGCTATTTGGGGTCTTTTCTGACTCTACACAAATCTTAAGATTATTTGTTCCAACTCTGTGAAGAAAGTCCATGGTATTTTGATAGGGATTGCATTGAATGTGAATTGTCCTTGGTAGCGTAGACATTTTCATAATATGAATTCTTCCAATCCATGAGCATGGAATATTTTTCCATCTCTTTGTATCTTCCTCAATTTCTTTAAGAAGCGTTGTGTAGTTCTTAGGGTATAGATCCTTTACCTCTTTGGTTAGGTTTATTCCTAGGTATCTTATGCTTTTGGGTGCAATTGTAAATGGGATTGACTCCTTAATTTCTCTTTCTTCAGTCTCATTGTTAGTGTATAGAAATGCCACTGATTTCTGGGCATTGATTTTGTATCCTGCCATACTGCTGAATTGCTGTATGAGTTCTAGCAATCTTGGGGTGGAGTCTTTTGGGTTTTCTATGTACAGTATCATGTCATCTGCAAAGAGGGAGAGTTTGACTTCCTCTTTGCCAATTTGAATGCCTTTTATTTCTTTTTGTTGTCTGACTGCTGTGGGTAGGAGTTCTAGTACTACGTTGAATAGCAGTGGTGAAAGTGGACATCCCTGTCATGTTCCTGATCTTAGGGGAAAGGCTCTCAGGTTTTCCCCATTGAGAATGATATTTGCTGTGGGCTTTTCATAGATGGCTTTTAAGATGCTGAGGAATGTTCCCTCTATACCTACACTCTGAAGAGTTTTGATCAGGAATGGATGCTGTAGGGTGGCCCTGGTGGTGCAGCGATTTAGCACTGCCTGCAGCCCAGGTGTGATCCCGGAGACCTGGGATCGAGTCCCACGTGCGGCTTCCTGCGTGGAGCCTGCTTCTCCCTCTGCCTTTCTCCCTCTCTCTCTCTCTCTGAATAAATAAATAAATAAATCTTAAGAAAAAAAAAGGAATGGATGCTGTATTTTGTCCAATGCTTTCTCTGCATCTATTGAGAGGTTCATATGGTTCTTGTTTTTTCTCTTGTTGATATGATCTATCAAAATGATTGTTTTATGAGTGTCGAACCAACCTTGTGTCCTGGGGATAAATCCCACTTGGTCATGGTGAATAATCTTCTTAATGTACTGTTGGATCCTATTGGCTAGTATCTTGTTGAGAATTTTTGCATCTGTGTTCATCAGGGATATTGGTCTATAATTCTCCTTTTTGGTAAGGTCTTTGGTTTTGGGATTAAGGTGATGCTGGCCTCATAAAACCAGTTTGGAAATATTCCATCCCTTTCTATCTTTTGGAACAGCTTTAGTAGAATAGGTATTGTTTCTTCTTTAAACGTTTGATAGAATTCCCCTGGGAAGCCATCTGGCCCTGAACTTTTGTGTTTGGGAGGTTTTTGATGACTGCCTCAATTTCCTCCCTGGTTATTGGCCTGTTCATGTTTTCTATTTCTTCCTGTTCCAGTTTTGGTAATTTGTGGTTTTCCAGAAATGGGTCCATTTCTTCTAGATTGCCTAATTTACTGGCATATAGCTGCTCATAATATGTTTTTAAAATCGTTTGTATTTCCTTGGTATTGGTTGTGATCTCTCCTCTTACATTCATGATTTTATTAATTTGAGTCTTTTTTCTTTCTAATGAGGCTGGCTAATGGTTTATCTATCTTATTAATTCTTTCAAAGAACCAACTCCTGGTTTTGTTGATCTGTTCTACAGTCTGGTCTCTATTTCATCGAGTTCTGCTCTAATCTTTATTAACTCTCCTCTGCTTGGTGTAGTTTTTATTTGCTTGTCTTTCTCTAGTTCCTTTAGGTGTGAGGTTAGCTTGTGTATTTGAGTTTTTTCTTTCTTTCTTTCTTTTTTTTTTTTTTGAGGGAAGCTTGTATTGCTATCTATTTCCCTCTTAGGACTGCTTTGGCTGTATCCCAAAGATTTTAAATGGTTGTATTTTCATTTTCATTAGTTTCCATGAATCTTTTTAATTCTTCTCTAATTTCCTGGTTGAACTATTTATCTTTTAGTAGAGTGCTCTTTAACCTCCACATGTTTGAGTTTCTTTCAAATTTCTTCTTGTGATTGAGTTCTAGTTTCAAAGCATTGTGATCTGCAAATATGCAGGGGACAATCTCAATCTTTTGGTAATGGTTGAGACCTGATTTGTGACCCTGTATGTGGTCCATTCTGGAGAAAGTTCCATATGTTCTTGAAAATAACGTGTATTTGGTTGCATTCAGATGGAAGGTTCTGTATATACGTGAAATCCATCTGGTCCAGTCTATCATTTAAAGCCCTTGTTTCTTTGGTGATGTTGTGCTTAGAATCTGTCATTTGCAGAAAGCGCCGTGTTGAAGTCTCCTACTATTAGTGTGTTATTATCTAAGTATCTCTTTACTTTCATTATTAATTGATTGATATACTTGGCAGCTCCCACATTAGGGGCATAAATATTCACGATTGTTAGGTTTTCTTGTTGGGTAGTTTCTTTAAGTATGATATGGTGTCCCTTTTCATCTCTTACTAGAGTCTTTGGGATAAACTTTATTTATCTAATATGAGGATTGCTACCCCAGCTTTCTTTTGAGGACCATTTGAATGGTAAATAGTTCTCCAACCTTTCATTTTCAGGCTGGAGGTGTCCTGAGGTCTAAAATGAGTCTCTTGTTGACAGCAAATAGATGGGTCTTGCTTTTTTATCCAGTCCAAAATCCTGCATCTTTTGATGGGATCATTCAGCCCATTCACATTCAGAGTAACTACTGAAAGATATGAATTTAGTGTCATTATAATACCTATTCAGTCCCTGTTTTTGTGGATTGTTTCTTTGGGCTTCCTCTTTCTTCTTCAGGAACCCCCTTAATATTTTTTGCAGAGCTTGTTTTGTGGTCACATATTCTTTCAGTTTCTGGCTATCCTGGAAGCTCTTTATCCCTCTTTCTATTCTGAATGAGAGCCTTGTTGGATAGAGTATTCTTGGCTGCATGTTCTTCTCATTTAGGACCCTGAATATATCTTGCCAACCCTTTCTGGCCTGCCAGGTCTCTGTGGAGAGGTCTGCTGTTAATCTGATATTTCTCCCCATATAAGTTAAGAATCTCTTGTCTCTTGCTGCTTTAAGAGTTTTCTCTTTATCTTTGGAATTTGCAAGTCTCACGATTAAATGTTGAGGCGTTGAATGGTTTTTATTGATTTAGAGGGGGGACCTCTCTGTCTCCTGGATCTGAATGCCTGTTTCCCTCCCCAAATTAGGGAAGTTCTCAGCTATGATTTGTTCAAATATGCTTTCTGGCCCTCTGTCCCTCTGAGCGTTTTCTGGAACCCCAATTATACGTAGATTTTTCCTTCTGAGGCTATCATTTATTTCCCTTAACCTTTCCTCATGGTCTTTTCATTGTTTTTCTCCTTTTCCCTCAGCTTCCTTCCTTGCCATCAACTTGTCTTCTATGTTTCTCACTCTTTCTTCCACCTCATTAACCCTCATCATTAAGACCTTCAGTTTGGATTGCATCTCATTTCATTGTTTTTTAATTTTGGCCTGATTAGATCTAAATTCTGCAGTCATGAAGTCTCTTGAATCCTTTTTGCTTTTTTCCAGAGCCACCAGTAGCTTTATAATTGTGCTTCTGAATTGGCTTTCTGACATCGAATTATAATCCATATTTTGTAACTGTGGCAGAGTGCTGTTTTTGATTCTTTCTTTTGTGGAAAGTTCTTCCTTCTAGTCCTTTTGCTCAGTGTAGAGTGGTTGTATGAGTGGGCTGAGTCAAGAATATCAAACACAACCTAAGTAAATTTCACCCTAGATGATTCTGACAAGGTCAGAGACCAGAAAATGAAAACAAAGATCAGAACAAAATAAAACAAAAGGACCACTAAAGTGAAAAACAAATTTTAAAAAAAAGTAGTAAAAAATAAGAGGCCAAGAATCCCAAAGAAGAAGAAGAAAAAAGAGAAAAAAAAAGCAAGAGTAAAGAAGAAAAAAAAGAGAAGAAAAAAAGGAGGGAGTACTGGGAGATGGTGATGGTGTGATGAAGTTGTAGTGGAGGGAGAATGTAGTCTACCTGAGGGGTCCTAGAGGGTGATCCTCTTGGTTCTGAGTGTATTAAGTTCTGTATGTTAGAAGATGCTCAGTCCCAAATTTATATAAACCAGAAATACCTATAGAAAGTCCCAACACTGACCACCAAAACCTAAATGAGATAAAAGAGGGGGACAGGGGCAGCCGGGGTGGCTCAGCTGTTTAGCACCACCTTCAGCCCAGGGCATGATTCTGGGGACCCAGGATCACGTCCCATATCCGGCTCCTTGCTTGGAGCCTGCTTCTCCTTCTACCTGTGTCTCTGCCTCTCTCTCTCTCTGTCTCAAATAAATAAAATCTTAAAAAAAAAAAAGAGGGGGATAGGATGTGAATGAAGATAGAGTATAATCTTACAGAATGAACCAGCACAGTATACCACTTTGTCTGGGTGCATGCTGGTCATGTTTTAGAACATATTAACTTCCACCATTGTAAAACAAAATGGGTCAGAGAAATAAACACAAAACAAAAAACATATCTCGTGTATCTCCCAAAATTATATTGAGTATGTTCAAGGAAATCTAGACATGGAAAATATATCCAGGACCTGTAATTATAGAAATATGAAAGTCAAAAAGGAAGAAACTTAAAACTGAAGAGGTGGTAAAATATTGTAGTTAAGGTGGGAAGAGAAAAAATATTGGAAAATTTTAGTCTGATATAAAAACAAGTTGTGCTGGAAAAAGGGGGAGAAAGGGGGGCATACCCTGTAGTTCTATATACTATAAATCCCTCAACTTCCCCTGGAGCTGTCCTGTGCTGCTGGTTCAAGAACTTGCTCTTCCCCTGTCCTTCCAGCTGGTCTTCTGGGAGAGGGGCTGCTGTGCTGACTGGTGTGTTCACCTGGGGGAGCTGCCCCGCTCCCCCCACTGGGTGCCAGGCTCAGTGGGAGCTGGTTACTCCCATGAGGCCCATGTCCCCTGGCAGCCCCGACCCTCCCAGGCACAGGGTGACACCAGGAGGAACAACCCCACTGGCGGCGGCCAGCCCTCCAGCCCTGGAGTCAGCTCCCGCAGTAACCACCACAGCTCCCAGCCTGCAGGGGCCTGGATGCACCGGGGCGGAGTTGGGGGCGCTGACCTGCACAGCTCGGGGGCGCCGGTGGCAGGAGCCTCCCCGCAGTCCTGGGCCCTCCCCACCTCTGCCTGTCCCGGGGGGAACCCACGATCCCCGCTGTGTCCCCAGCACCCTGGGCTCAGGGCCTGCGCCGCTGGCATCGCTCCCGGGCGGTGGACCCCGAAGGCAGCAGGGCGCAGCCCCCTCCGCCCAGAGCCCCCCGACCCCCGGCTTCTCCCCAAGGCCCCGCCGGGTGCTCCAGCCCTTTACCGCGCTCGGCCGCGGGGTGTGGGGCGCTGTCCCCGGGGCACTTCCTCTGTTAGTGACCCCAGGAGGCTGGGGGCCCCACTCCTGCAGTCCTTCCCGGGTTCTCCGCCGAGCGCCTTTCCCTCCGGGAAGAGTCCGGTGCCGATTGTTAAAGTTCCCGCTTCCCAGGGCGGGGCTCCCCTGTCCCGGGGTTCCCGCAGCCCTTAGCCCGGCTCCTCGCGGGGCCCTCCCCCACTGGTTTCTTTTTTATTTTTATTTTTCCTCCTTCCCACCTTGCTAGAAGTGCAAACCCTTGTCTCTGTAGCGTTCCAGCTTCTCTCTTTAAATCTCAGGTCGAACCGTAGGTGTGCAGGATGTTTTGGAAGTTACCTAGTGAGTTGGTGGGGCCAGGTGAGGGGAGGCCCCTGCTCCTCCGCCTGCTTGCCTAGAGTTGTAGTTTTTTCCTTTTAGATCATTTTTATAGCCCTTTATAGCTACAAATGAGTTTGTGATTCTATTATTGTCACCTAATGATTATTCCTAGCATCTGCTCATTTCCTCCTCTCTGGGGATAGTGTGGTATTTGGTGGATCAGATTAGCTCCATTTCACAGTTAAAATTAATACAGATAGAGACCAGCTTAGCATTATAATTGTTACATCTCCTCTGCCCCTGGGTACTTAAACTTTCCAAAATATGTACCCAATCCACTACACTAACCTGACCCTCAAGGCCCAAGTGACCACCGGCAAGAGGGTAGTTTGTCTTCCATATGTGTTCATCTCCATGCTTCTGTCTGCAAGTTCCTGCAGTATCACACATGGACCTGGTGCAGTTTTCTTCTGATTCCTGAACACATTTTCTCTTCATATCCACATGGAGCCTCTAAATTGAGATAAGAGAGGAGAGTCCCATGGTAAAGAGGACCTTTGGGAATTTATGTTTTACAGGATGGAGATAAACCTCAACATCCTGAAGGGAAACTCAAGACTGGAAGGATACAAGGTATGTGTCTACAGAACAGTCTTCTTCCATATGGAGACTGGACAGAGTAAAGAAGGGCCCAAATACTGCCGAGCATGTCTCCAGGCCACAAGCTTTCAAATAGAATAACAGTCTTCAACCAGTTCTCATTGTTAACCAGCATTGATGGACTTTTTTACAATTAGACCATTATCCATGGCATAGTCAATGACCCACATTGGCAAATATTCATATGCGTTCTAGAATAGAAGACAAGTGTTCCCTTTAAAACTCCAAAGGGAAATCTATTTGAATTAATGAGCTAACAAGAAACAGAAGAGGGAACAGGGCAGCATTCCTTCCTTCACGTGAAGATATTTTCAGAATGCTTAAATGTACGTAATACTCTGGCGCTGAGGAATCTATTGAAATGAGGTAAGATAGGTATTGTGTTGGTGAGACTGGTTGCTTTCAAGAAGTCAGAGATAAACAATGGAGATAATCATTACTAGTAAGATAGTGAAATCACACAGTTAGCCACCCCCCATATTAGGGATAATTGGATTCTGCACAGACATGTCCATGTATATTTTTAGCAACAAATACATCTCTACATAGATATGGAGTTGAGAAAAGAGGGAGAGAGATGGCTAACCTTCATTGAACATTTATGGCAATAATGATTGAAATGCTGAACAGGATGCTATCTCATTCAATGTTTGTAACAAGACTATGGGCATCACCTCCAAACTGTATGAATGAAGAAATTGAGAAGCACTGAGCTCAAATAATTTACAAAACCGGGTACGGTGGGTAGGTGGTAAAGAAAAAGGCTAACTTCGTTGTTTCCTTTCTCCATGAATGGACTCATCCACAGAGCTGTCCAAGCCATTAATATGAATGCATCCCTTGACTCATAGGCAATTAGTCACCACTTGGTATTGACTGCAACACCTTACTAGCTCTCATTATGATTTACTTCTTTTCCTTCCATTACCACTATCCTAAGGCAATTCTTCCTAGGAATACTTCAATAGCTTTATTCTTGGGCTCCCTGACTCAAGTCAACCCACCTACTCATGGCCCAAAGCAGGCCTGCCACTGGGTTTTAAAAATAAAGTTTTATTGGAACACAGCCATGCCCATTTATTTACGTATTGTCTTTGATTGCTTTCATGCCACAAAGGCACAGTTAAGTAGTTATGACAAAGACCACATAGCCTACAATGCTGAAAATATTTACATTCTGGCTAGAGTTATCATATTTAGCAAATAAAAATATGAAATGCCTCATTAAACTTAAATGTTAGATAAACAATGAATGGTATTGCATGGGTCATATGAACACTACTTATCCATTGTTTAACTGAATATCTTCAAGTGATTCCTGTTATTCATGGAATCTGTATTTGCAAATTCTTCTGTTCATTGAAACTTATTTGTAACCCCCAAATCACTAGTCACAGTGCTTTCTGGATCATTCACAGAAAAAAATAATCAAGGTAGCTAAAGTGCAAGTTCCCAGCCAAACAAGGTGGCTTTTTGTCTTCTTGTTCTAGCTGTCCTACTACAAACAAGTGTAATTTTGGTGGTGTATGTAATGCCATATTTTTTTTTTTCATTTTGTACTTTTTTTTAAGTGATTTCACTGTTTAAAATGGCCCTGAGTGTAGTTCTGAAGGGCTGTCTAGTGTTCCTGTAAAGGCTGTGATGTGCCTTAAGGAGAAAATACACATCTTAGATAAGCTTTGTTCATGTGCTATTGTGAGTTATGGTGCTATTGGCCATGAGTTCAATGTTATGAATCAACAACATAAATAAAGTGTCTTTAAATAGAAACACACACAAAATGAGCTCATTTATCAATCAGTTGATAAAAATGTTGTGAGGAAAAGCTTGTAAGAACCTGCCTTGATTTCCCCTCATTCAGTGTTTGTGGAAGCAACTTCATGAACATAACTACTGCAAATGATGAGAATCAACTGTGTCTGAAAATAAAATTAATATTTTGCTAGGCTTTGTGTATGATATCTGGCAACTCTATCTGTTCCTTTATAAAAATTTTACTGCATTCTGCTCTATGCTATTGTTAATTATCTTTCAAAAGCAAATCCATTCACACTTTCTGGTAATCCTTGTATTAGCACAGAATTCAAAGTCCTTCATTCCTTCACTCCTGCTTTTCTCCCATCCTCCTCTCTTGCCACCTTCCCCTTGGAAGCTCTGAACTAGTCTTTCTGTATGACCTGTGATCCCTTCTGTCCATATGCTGTTCACTCTGTCTAGACATTAGCTTTGCAATTTGCCTGGTAAGCCGTAGCTGGTGCTGAGGACACTGTTAAATGTCACCTCCTCTGGGAAGCAACCCCCAAATCCCTAGAATGAGTTAGCTGCCTCCCTCAGAGTGTAGCAATGCTAATTAGGCCTCCTCCTCTCTCTTTTCCTTTTCAGAGAAATGCCATGAACCTTGCATCACCACTTCCAACTGCAGCCAGCCCTGTGCTCAGCACTTTCGTGGAGAAATAGGATTTACATGTCATCAAAACAAGTGGCAAAAATCAACTGAAACATGTACAAGCCTTTCTGTGGAAACACTCTTTAAGGTAATGCATTTGCAGATTATTGGCTTCCGGGGCTAATTTCCCAGGAGAAGGTACTGGCATGTTCATGTGTTCTGTTCGGCATGACAACAAATCTCAGATCTAGATTTGGGAAAATAGCAAAGTGGGTGAAATTTGTCTCTTCTTCCTTCCTTACCCAAACTCTTAGATACTCTCCCCATCCTCACTCTCTCTTTCTCCCTCTGAGCATCTTTTCTCAAAAATAGATCAGAAACTCAATCACACGATGGAAAATGCTTAGAGGTTAAAGTTTGAGCTCTAAAGATGGATTTGTGTGTAACTTCGTCTTATTAGGGAACTTGCAACTTCTTGAAATTACAGTTTAGCATTCTTTGACTGGCCAAACTCCAAATTCATTCTCCAACCCATTCCCACAAATTCCATGTGATTCCTCTTTCAAAAAATTAAAAAAAAAAAAAGGACAAATTTTGTTTTTAGAATTTCTCCACATCTCTAGAGGAAACTATCTTATCACATTTGAGTTAAGAACCATTGTCCTGAAAGCAATAGGTCAGTATCTTGATCTCAGTGGGAATTTTGGTGGAATTTCTTGTCTGTGCATGACTCCATCTTACTGTCTCCCACTTTTTTGGCATCTAAACACCTTTTTAGGACCACTTGCTTCCCTATTTTCCCCAGGTGGTGTATTTGTGCCTTAGCTTCTTTACTCTGACATGGGTTAGGTACTTAATCATTTTTTAACAAAACGACTTTTTCTTTTTAAAAACAGGACTTCAATAGTGCGTCACGCCTTTCCCTAGCAGCATCATCCATACCTGTACATGTACTTGATTTTCGAGCTCCAGAGCCCATGGAGAGTGTAGCCCAAGGAATCCGCAGGAACTGTCCAGTTGACTATGCCTGCATACTCGATGTTGTGAAGTCATCAGAAGCCACATCTGGAAACATTGCATTTATAGTGGAGTTATTAAGAAATATTTCTATAGATTTGTCTGATAATGTTACCCGAGAAAAAATGAAGGTATTCTTTGATAATTTCATTAAAAAAACTTGATGGTATTTTTTTTTTGTACCAAATCTTGCATTTAAACAGTTTCAAATGTACTTTTCAGGGTATAAGGTATGAAAACTAAAGCAACCATAACAACAAAGATATGTATTTTATTTCGGTTTTGCATATCAACTCACTCTAGTTTATGGAACTTTTCAAGAAGTTAGCACATTTTTAATACATGTTTTTGTATAGACTCACTATTTTCAAGAAAATGTCCCAAAAAAATGGCTGTGAGCAAAACTATGTTGCCCGCATTTCATTCTGTAGATAATTGTTCTGAGAAATGTTAATGGAGGTTTCATTTCTAAAAGGGAAATCTGTACATAGTAGATGTAGTAATTCCAAGTTAAATAAAGATAAACAGGCTTTCTTTTCTTTTCTTTTTTTTTAAGATTTGTATTTATTTATTCATGAGAGACACAGAGAGAGGGGCAGATACATAGGCAGAGGGAGAAGGAGGCTCACTGCAGGGGGTTTGATGCTGGGATTCCAGGACCCCAGGATTGCACCCTGAGGCAAAGGCAGACACTCACTACTGAGCCACCCATGCTTCCCAATAAACAAGTTTTCTTATGGCAGAACTTTTTAGAGCTTTTCATGTGTTAATGAAACTTGGAACTCCTTATAAGAGAGGGGATAGGGATATGGTATGCAGTATTTCTCAAATTTAGGTTTTTATAGAATGTACCCCCAAATCCCTCCATTAAACAATCATTAATATCTCATGAGAATTTTGGGTTAAATGGAATGCAGTTTGGAAAGGCTGCCCCAGGCACATAATAAAGCAGGTAAACTTTATCTGTGATTTTTTTTTTTTAAATTTTAATCGTTGTTTTACTTTACTTCCCTCTCTGAAGGCTTCTTAGCATGAGATTCTAATAAACTGTGAATTTGAAGAGAAATATGTCAAATAAGATTTGATCGCTAGAAATTTCAGGTTTTAGAAATTGGCTTTCTACAATAATGTGTAAATCCTTAGCATAATTTCCATTTTTTTCTCCATTGCAGAGTTATAGTGAAGTGGCCAACCACATCCTTGACACAGCAGCCATTTCAAATTGGGCTTTCATTCCAGACAAAAATACCAGCTCAGATTTGTTGCAGTCAGTGAATCTGTTTGCAAGGCAACTCCACATCCACAATGAATCTGAGAACATTGCGGATGAACTCTTCATTCAGGCAAAAGGGCTTCTCATCAACCACAATACCTCAGAGAAAAAGTTCAATTTCTCTGTGAGCAAGAACAATACAACAGAGGGTATCTTAGGAGTAATAGAAATTCCCAGACAAGAGCTGTGGAAGCTGCCACCAAATGCATCCCAAGCCATCAGCATAGCTTTTCCCACGTTGGGGGCCATATTGAAGGAAGTCCACTTACAAAATGTGAGTCTTCCTAGACCTGTAAATGGTCTCGTCCTTTCAGTGATTTTACCAGAAGAATTGAAGCAAGTCTTATTCACCTTTGAGAAGATCAACAAGTCCCGGAATGCCAGGGCCCAGTGTGTTGGCTGGCACTCCAGGAAAAGGAGGTGGGACGAGAATGCATGTGAAACCACATTGGAGATCATGAACAAAGTGAAATGTTTGTGTAACTACACCAACATGGTGATGTCCTTTTCAATTCTAATGTCCCCCAAATCTATAGAAAACAAAGTCCTTGACTACATCACCTGCATTGGGCTCAGCATCTCCATCTTTAGCCTGATTCTTTGCCTGATCATTGAAGCCATGGTGTGGTCCCGGGTGGTTGTGACAGAGATATCATACATGCGTCATGTGTGCATCGTGAACATAGCTGTGTCACTCCTGATTGCTAATGTGTGGTTCATCATAAACTCTAACTTTCACAAAAAGGTCCAGGACTCCAACTGGTGTGTTGCACTGACATTTTTCAGCCACTTTTTCTACCTCTCTCTGTTTTTCTGGATGTTCTTCAAAGCACTGCTCATCATCTATGGGATATTGGTTGTTTTCCGTAGGATGATGAAGTCCCGCATGATGGCCATTGGCTTTGCCATTGGCTATGGGTGCCCCTTGATCATTGCTGGCACCACAGTTGCTGTCACAGTGCCAGAGAAAGGCTACATGAGACCTGATGCTTGTTGGCTTAACTGGGACAATACCAAAGCCCTTTTAGCATTTGCCATCCCAGCCTTGGTCATTGTGGCTGTGAATCTTGTGGTGGTTTTGGTTGTTGCTGTCAATACTCAGAGGCCCTCTATTGGAAGTTCCAAGTCTCAGGATCTGGCCATAATTATGAGGATCAGCAAAAATGTTGCCATCCTCACCCCGTTGTTGGGACTGACCTGGGGTTTTGGAATAGCTACACTTATAGAAGACACTTCCTTGATATTCCATATAATCTTTGCCCTCCTCAATGCTTTTCAGGTAAGTTCCAAGAAGTAGACTTCTTTTATTAATTAATATTATTAATAAATGTTTTATTTATAAGATTATTTTTATTTTATAATTCACTATTCTGGCTATACAACAAAAAATGGCTGTGACTGAAAAACATAGAATACAGTGTTTCATTTCTTTCCATGTTTTACAGACATTCAGCTGTGGCATCTCTCACACTATTGGTTGTCAAGTTGGATTTAGTTGATCAGGCTGATTGGGTGGGAATCTCCTTTCTTCTGTCCTCAACTGATCCATTGTATCCCTCCTAAAGTTTCAATGTCAGAAGAAGTTGACCTTTATTCATGGAAGACTAGTCTTTCATCAAAGATGTGTGAGTCTACACTCACATGCTATGCCTCAAAACAAAGCACAGTTTTTATCCTTTCTCATGCAATTTGGGAACTCAGTGAAATAGTCATTTTCCATAGTATGAAGAGACAGGGCTTGCCATTCTCTTTGAGTGCTAATGGGTTAGGAGTTCTCATGCTGCTTCCCTGTGAAATAAATGTTAGGTCGTTCTTCATTGAAATGGATCTTGCTGCATGTTGCTCCACCTTAAAAATGTTACTTTCCTCTGGGCTTCAACCTTCTCCTTAGCAAGATAAAGATATACATCTAAAATTGGGCAGCCCTGGTGGCTTAGCGGTTTCGTGCCCCCTTCAGCCCAGGGCGTGATCCTGGAGAGCCAGGATTGAGTCCCATGTCAGGCTCCCTGCATGGAGCCTGCTTCTCCCTCTGCCTGTGTCTCTGCCTCTCTCTCTCTCTCTCTCTGTGTCTCTAAAAAATAAATAAAATCTTAAAAAAAAAAAATCTAAAATCATCTCTATTGTCTTTTCTTGTTCTACCATATGTGGTTTGGCAAAATTATCCCTCTAAAATTTGCTTTGCTCTGTGTTGGCGACTGAGCTTGTACTTTTGGGAAGCTGTCACTAGCCAGACTGCTTTTCAAACCTATAAGTAATAGCAAATTTGGCAAGTTCACATCTTTAATTATACTTTGAATCAGGGGATGGCAAACTCCAGCCTGCTGCCTATTTTTGTAAATAGTCTTACTGGAATAAAGCCATACTCATTTATTTACATTTTGCCTATGGCTGCTTTTGAGCTACCATGGCAAAGTTGAGTAGTTGTAACACAAACTGTGTAGCCCACAAAGCTAAAAACATTTCTTATCTGATTCTTCACAGAAAAAAATTTTCTAGCCACTGCTTTAAATATATAAATATAACTGCTTAGTAAAGCAGCAATGTATTCCTATTAACATGTCACTATTACTCTATTTAAAAAGGTAGTATGAAATACAAAGCAGACTTTTAAGAAATGCCCACTCAGATCAATTATAAATCTTGCTCATACTTCTTTAATAACTATGATGAACATTTATTTCATTCTTTGCCCTGCATGGCTTTATTTTTTTTTAAGATTTTATTTATTTATTCATAGAGACACAGAGAGAGAGAGGCAGAGACACAGGCAGAGGGAGAAGCAGGCTCCATGCAGGGAGTCCGATGTGGGACTCGATTCTGGGTCTCCAGGATCACACCCTGGGCTGAAGGCGGCGCTAAACCCCTGCACCACCGCTGCACCACCCGGGCTGCCCCTGCATGGCTTTAAAGAGAAACTTTTGACTTACGGTTTTTTTTGTTTTGTTTTGTTTTTTTAAATCAAAAGTTCTTGGACTGACATAAATCTCCCAACTCTTGAAGTTACTTTGGTGATTAATGATCTCATTCTTTTTTTTTTTTTTAACTTTGCAACTTAATCAAACCCCAGAATGTTTTATTCTGTTTCTTTTCTGAATCACTTCTTTTTTCTTGATAGAAAGAAAAATACTGAAACCCTTTTAGGTAAATTCACTCCAACTTTTCTCAGCAAGCTTTCCCTGTGAGTCATGTTTAAAATTCTTTATCTTCTGATCAGCATTTCTCCACCATGAAACTATCCTTAGAAACCCAGCCTTCCTTCCACTCTCATGGCAGGATCCAGAATTTTCTTTTCTTTTCCTTTTATTTCTTTTCTTTTCTTTTCAAAAAGATTTTAACCATTTATTCATGAGAGACACAGAGAGAAGGCAGAGATATAGGCAGAGGTAGAAGCAGGCTCCCCATAGGGATCCTGATGTGGGACTCCATCCCCATACCCTGGGATCATGCCCTGAGCCGAAGGCAGACACTCAACTGCTGAGCCACCCAGTGGTCTGGGACCCAGAATTTTCTTAAACTTCAACTTCTACCATTTAAAAAGATTGACTGTAGATTACTGTGACTTTGTAGGTAACCAAATAATTTAAACTTGCTTTTAAATTTCTGTAGTTTTTCTCTTTTATGCATAAACTTAATTCCACCAGCTCAGAGAGCCTGCTATTTCTTGACTTTTAACTCCAACTGAAAGTAAACTGTAATACAGGTTTTACTTCTCAAGATACCTTCCATGATTGATTGTTACTTTGAGCTATAGGATTCCATGTCATGTTATGTCATGTTACTAAGAGTAAGAACAGCTAAATATTTGGAAAGAAAGTAAACAGATATAATAAGGTAGAAAACATTATCCTACATCTGTAGCCGTTCAATAAATATCAATAATTGTCATGTGCAGACATGAAGGTGACCCTCTTTCTTTGAGGTACAATCACAGAAAATACTTGTCAATGTATTTTTCTTTTTTTTTCTTTTATTCCTGAATCAGTAGAAGGGCAAGGTTCTAATGTCCAATAACTGTCGTTGAAGATATCTAGAAGAGTGGTATTAAAACAGTTGGGATATTGTCTGCCAAATCATCCCTCATACTTCTGTTGAATTTTTCCACAGGGGTTCTTTATCCTGCTGTTTGGAACCATTATGGACCGCAAGGTAATTTAAATTTGTTTCACTCATTGTAAAAATTTTCACAGGGCTCAGGGTAGCAGGGGGGTGAAACAGCTTTGATCAGAAAGCCTGGTCCATGGGGGTGAATTTGAGGCATGAGCTGAGGGGAGGAAGAGAGAGAAGTATATTCTCATTTCCTGTACTTAATTCAACAGGAGGCTGTATATGAGAGTAGCTAAAAGAATAAAAACCATAACCAGAATTTTAATTTTAATCCTAAATCTAATTATAATAACCAAAATTTTAGTTTTTTTATTATTTTATTTTTTAAAAGATTTTTTATTTATTTATTCATGAGAGACACACACACAGAGAGAGAGAGAGAGAGAGAGAGAGAGGCAGAGACATAGGCAGAGGGAGAAGCAGGCTTCATGCAGGGAGCCTGATGCAGGACCTGGTCCTGGGTCTCCAGGATCACACCCTGGGCTGAAGGTGCCGCTAAACCGCTGAGCCACCCAGGCTGCCCCATTTTATTTTATTTTATTTTTTTAAAATGTATTTATTTGTTCATGAGAGACACACACAGAGAGGCAGAGACATAGGCAGAGGGAGAAGCGGGCTCCCTGTGAAGAGCCTGATGCAGGACTCAATCCTGAGACCCTGGAATCATGCACTGAGTCAAATGTAGACACTCAACCTCTGAGCCACCCAGGTGCCCCCGGAATTTTAGTTTTAATCCTAAATCTAAGTATAACGACACCTTAATTTTTATCCAAATCTTATTGGCTAAGCACTAGACTAAGCCATCTGATGCTGCTTCTTCCAGGGTTACTGGTCTCGAAGTTTCAGGACCTGGGTCTGGGTTTTGGGGATGTTGTCATTTCTTGTCTGTCATTGCTTCTTCAGATAAGAGATGCTCTGAGGATGAGGATGTCTTCACTGAAGGGAAGATCAAGGGCCGCAGAGGTAAGCCTTCCCTTTCAGGCTCAATACTGAAGGGTCCTCAGCAGAGTCATGTAGAGACAAATATTATAGCTTGGTATTTAGGATTTGTTAGCAAAGTGAATTATTAGGGCATACATTCATTCATTCATTCATTCATTTCTTCACTCGACAAATTTGGAGTGTCTAACTGAGGCTTAAGGTCAGTAAAATATACCTCTCTAGAGAATTTTCCACCTTGGATGTATTTCAGCTTGACATCTGGACCGTTGAGATGGGACAACATGAAACCAGGATCAAGACTCGTAAAACACTAGAGCTGGGAAGTGAGAGATGAGTTAGAAATGAGGTTCTAGTCCAAGCTAGTTGTTTCCTAGGTGAGGAAATCAAGGTCCAGAGTGCTTATGAGATTTGCCTGAAGCCACCCGGATAATCATGAGAATTAGCATTCTCTTTGCTCAGGACTCTTTTCAGTAAACCATATTCTTAGATTGAAGTATATGTATACTTGTTGATCTTGAAGATGACTTTGACCAAGCTATCCATCTTTTAAGGTACCAACTAGAATTGCCATCAGTGCTATATTAATTAATTAGAAAGAAGTCATTTACTTAACCAACAATTTTACAATAAAAGCTACTTTCTTAAAAATAAACAAAGAACTTTCTGAACACATTGAGAGTCAGCACTTACAGTTAACTAGTATTGAGGGTGACTTTTGGCATCCCTAGTTCATCAATTCTAAGATAGGCATTTTTTTCACCTTTAAACATTTCTGAAATTGGAATGTATCTTACAATCAGGGGCATGTCATGAGTTAATTGGCAAGTTTTTTTTCTTTCTTTTTGTTAAGGGAATATAATAATGACATAGCTAACAATGTTAGGTTCTGAAATATAATTTAATTCTGTGTAGCTGTGTCAATTTGAGTACTATTTTTCAGGCTTCCATTTTTACATGTTTATCTCTAGGAAGACATATATATAAATATAAACACATTTTTTTTTGTCAATGCCGTTACTTAGTGACATTGCTGTTGACTTTTTTTTTTCATTTAGAATGCATCATTAAGCCCAACCAATGGATCTAAATTAATGAATCGTTGAAGATGAGATGTGAGTATTAAAAACTCAAGGAGAATCTTTACTTTAAAGTTGTGACAAACTCCTGAATGTCCCTTGTGAGCTCACTATGGCCTATGGTGTGATGCAGGAGTGAGGTGGGGAGGGAACAGGTAGATAGATCTTTCAGAGATTAAAAACTTCTTTACTACACAGTGCATAAGTGAAAATATGCACATCCTCAAAACCTATGCCATGTCAGTGTCTACGTCCACATTTTTAAAAAGTTTTAATTAATTTAAATTTCAGGTAACATACAGTGTAATATTAGTTTCAGGAATACAATATAGTCATTCAGTACTTTCATAGAACACCCAGTGCTCATCACAGCAAGTGTCCTCCTTCATCCCCATCACCTATTTCAACCATCACCACCTCCATCTCTCCTCTGGTAGCCATTAGTTTGTTCTCTACAGTGAAGAGTGTGTTTCTTGGTTTGCCTCCCTCTCTCTTTCCCTCACCTTTGCTTATTTGTTTTGTTTCTTAAATTCCACATATGAGTGAAGTCATATGGTATCTTTCTTTCTCTGAATGACTTACTGATTTAGCATGATACTCTTTAGCTCCATGCATGTCATTGCAAATGGCAAGGTTTCATTCTTTTTTATGGCTGAGTAACATCCCATTATATATATATATATACACACACACACACACATATATACACATACATATATGTATGTATATACATACATATATACATACATACATACATATATACATACATATATATCATATATATATATCTCACTTCTTTTTTTATCCATTCATCAATCAATGGACATTTGAGCTGTTTCTGTAGTTTGACTATTATAGAATGAGATAATGCTACTATAAACACCAGGGTGCATATATTCCTTTGAGTTAGTATTTTTAGTGCATATATTCCTTTAGAGTTAGTATATGGCCAAATCTTAAGCATACTTCTCTTTCCTCAATGAGGGGATGATGTCATCAGATCTACACTGATACAGGATACACCCTTGCTGTCTATAGCACTCACACACCTTAATTCCATCTTGTCAGTAAGTGGTGACACTTATAATAGTCTCATTGTTGAGAAGGAAGGCTTTAATTGATTGAAATCACAAAGCAACAAGCCTCTCTCCCTAATGAAGTTGGAGTCCAGAATCATCCCTAAGGGAGTATGAGTAGAATTACAGCAAGTTAGCTGCCTAACAGCCAACCTTTGAGACATATTTCTACACAGATGAAATTAAGGAAAAACAAATACTGGACATCCATAAAGAGGAGATACATAACAAAGAGGCATCCAGGAGCCTGAGAGGTCTAGGGGAACATGAGCAGGGATGATCGATTTTGGTATGGTTTTGTCTTAGAGAGGTTTCATGGCTTTTGTATATGGATATAGATGTCTCAGATTTTTTAAAACACCATCTGGAAGCAGGCACATCCTCTTTTAAATTCATTCTCTTTCAGAGTCAGGGCCCAGTATTGAGCAATGGGGCAAAGCCAAGAGTTGAAACAGTGGAATCACAGACATTCTGAGTTGGTGGACCTCTTAAGGGACCTGCTACGTTACAGATCCTACAAACCTCATGTTGTGCTGCTATGGGACATTGGCTCATGGTCCCCGGGAGAGAAAGAGGGGTTTGTCATACATGCTGTCAGGCATTGTGTGGGGTGCTGGGAAAACACCAGCATATTATCCTTAATTAATTATCTTCACATTTGGGTTTTTATGTCAGTAATTTAAAAGTGGGGAGGAGAGATATCATAGTCTTTTAAAAAGGGGAACTCTCCCACCTCTCCTCATTTCCTAGTCCACAGAGCTCCTCCACAGTGGAACATCACTATAACATTTCTTGATTCGTCACTACTCAAGAGGTAATTCAAATGACCTGTGAAAGGTCAGCTTTCACAGTTGACCTTTCCATTAAGTTCAGATTTGACCTATTTTAGGAAGTTTGTTAGACTGTTTCAGGTAGAGGAGGATCTGCCTCCTGGGGATACTAAATCTATGCCTTCTAAAGGAGAGAGGCTGGTTGAAGTCTAATCTCCAGCGAGCTGAGTGGACCAGGTTGGCTGTAGTAAAAATTGGATAAAACCAATAGAACTCAGGATCTGGACCGATCTCCTACCTGGAATTAGGGAGGTGCACAAAGCTTCCACGACAGGGTGGGAGAAAGTGTAGGGAGGAGGTGGAGATGTACTAACAACTCCCCAAAAATAATCCTCACCACATGATTCTTCAACTCTTGTTTTTGAACCTGTGAGGTAGGGGATGAACTGAAGATTGCATTTTCTCATTGTATCCTTCATAGGTGGCCAAGTGCCTATCGAATTCTCTCAGTACTTGGAGCTGTGCTTTTTACATGCGGACACACATGGAACCAGAAGGATTAGAAACAGCAGCTGACACTGGTGCAGACCGTTTTAGGGGTGCAACGAGTTAGACATCAGGGATAGGAAATTCACTATAAGTGAATGGAGACCTAGGAGCACAAGAGGGGTTTCAGCAGGATGGGGGTGGGGGGGCGGTGCTCCATCCATGGGTTAAGGTCAGAATTATGGAACATAATTAACATGTTCAGCAACATAGGGGATGGGGGAGGTTTGGTAAGTGCAGGGCAGGTTGCAGCCCAAGGCAGGGCTAAACCACAAGGAAAAGGCAGTATTTCAAACTTTAAATCAGGGTACAAAATTGAAGACTGCCAGAGTCTGAGGAAATACGCAGAATTCCATTGGTGAGACAGGGGCCAGGAGTTCCGAATTGGACTCTTAGGACTTGTGACCTTGAGCGTGGGTGGAAGCTATCCCAGTGACCTATCCCAGTCTATATCCCAGTGGTCTATCCCAGTGACCTCAGGTTTGATGGCTCTTAGAAACGAGGTCAGGAAAGGTTTGTTAGGAGGTCTGGAGATCAGGGAAGGACTGCAGAGGTGTGTGAATCCCATTCTGGAGGCAGAGAAGAGAGAGAGAAGGGGGGTGGGTGGGTGGGGGAGGACACAGCTGCACAGCGCCCTCTGCTGTTCTGACCCAGTGTTATTCCCAGTGTCCCTAGGAAGTCTCTTCGGTTCCTGGAAAATATGTGTTTATTCCTGAATTCACCTCAAAGGATGCAGAACTCTTCATTCCACAGTGAGACATGAGACTGACTGAACAAATGCCTCCAGAGAAACGACATGGTTTTCTGTGTGAAGTTGTAAGTTCAGAGTAGCAGTCATTCTAGAGACCAAGCTTAGGTAGCCCAAGAGGTAGAGAGGACGTTGAGCACCAAGTTTAGGGCTGAGGGAGCAGCCTGAAGAAGGGAGAGGGCACAGGAAAAGGAACCCAGGAGAATAGCCTTCCTACTGTGTGGCTTTGAGGAGATGGCTCAAGGCCTCTGGGCCTCTGTTCCCTCATCTGTAAAATGGGGCTAGTGATAGTACATACCTCCCAGGATGGTTTTAGGATTCAACGAGCTAACATATTCAGAACTTGGAGAATAATGCCTGGTTCAAATTAAGTTATCAGTAAGTGCCAGCTATACTTCCTGTTAACGTGTGTTTTAACCATTTTGCTTAGGCTGCTCCATTTTTCGAAAATGTTCCGTGTCCTGGACTGAGAGTGAAGCTCTAGGAGAGGGAAGCTGGAATGTAGGGGCAACCGAGCTTCCTCAGAAGACTTTCTCTTCTAGCCAAGTATGACACCTAAGCCATCAGGGCAAAATGTTTGCTGAAGAAAAAGTGAGAATGACATTTGGTGACTGGGTTTGAAGGACGTAGAACCACTGACCTTTTGACCACCTACCCATGACTTGCAAGAGCCTGGCTTCTTGGTCAACCTTGTCAAGATTAAGATAGTAAGCCATTTTCTGAGGTCCTGGGCGAGCCTGGAGCTATTGGGGTTCTACTGAAGGTGGTCTGCTTTCACCCTCAAGGCCTATTCTGTGTCTCCTCCATAAGCCCAGCCACTGTAACTGTATGGATCCTGCATACTTTGGGGGACAGGAGTTATATCCAGTGTCAAGGGTAGGGGTGGGCATGAGAGTAGAAGGTGGGGTGGCAGCAGAAATACTGAATCTACTTTGGAGACAGTTAAGTCATGGTAGGTTTCCTAAAAATAGGAACAGAAGAAAAATAAGAGGACTTTTAAATGTGTTTATTATTTTAGTCTGTTTTAGACCTTGCATAAAATAATTTAGCTCCTAGGACTTTAGTTTCCTCATTTGTGAAACTTAAACATATTCTTGTAGATATTATTATTTGTGTGTGTGTTTAAAGCCTATACATAAAAAAATTTTAGACATGAAAATAAAAACATTTACTTTTCACAACTTGTTCATGTGTGAGTTTATTCAAGGTGGATGGCCCCATTGGTACCACAACATTCTTGGGTACAACCCTTTTATCAGTCTACCTCAACCCATTGACCGGATACTCAGGAAGCCCAGGAAAGTAATCCTATCATGTATTTATAAGGTGAGGACCTGGAAATATTTGGCAAACAGCACTGCAGTCTTTCAGACATGCTCAGTAAAATTTCTATTGCCAGTTTGGTTTTAAACAGACGGGCCTATCAGTAGGGCTGAAGAGGACCGTGTGTGTGTGGGTGGTGCAGTTTGATGAAAGCAGAAGTAGTAAAGGCCAGTCACCCCTTTTTCACAAAACCCACACACAAGTACCTTTTTGCAACCCTGCTTTCAGGACTTTTAGTGTTGGTAGTTTATAAACAAGACAAGGGTTGGTTTCAAATCAAACTAATTATTTTAGTGATAAAAAATTTTAGTCATTTGGAAATTGTAGTCCTTTCATAGAATTAAATTATTCATAATGAGGGACATGAATATATCTTCTATATTTAGAACATTTCCTGAACATTCATTTATTGACCCACTTTTCTTTTCTGACTCTAGCCATTATAAAAACAATTTTTACTTCTCTCAACCCCCTGAGATTTAGAAAGTTCAGTGCATCAGGTAATTCCAAACCAAATAATTGCCTTTAGTTTGGTGGATTTACTTGGTGTCATATCAAGGTCAAATTAATAATTTCCTCATGATAATAGCATTTAGTCTCTTTTTTCCCATATTTTTCCAAGCTCTCCCTCTTCTTAGCACATATTAGGGGAACTATCATGCTGAGTAGTCAGTTCTGCAGTAAGAAAACACATGCATTTTAAAAACCACCACACTATGCAAACTGGTAATAAAACTCGCAGAACTTATGGGAAGAATGCATTAGGGATGTAATATGCCAGTATCAAGGCATGAATCTTAGGCAGAAATATCTTAGCCTTGAGCAATTCAGCTTAAAAACAAATTTTCTCCTAGAAATTTTTCCCTTCTGATAATTTTCATCTCTGAACACAACTCAGTGACTTAATGGTTGTACTCTCATTGAGGAATCAATTCTTCTTTTCTTTTTTCTTTCTTTCTCCTCCTCCTCCTCCTCCTCCTCCTCCTCCTCCTCTTCCTTCTCCTCTTCTTCTTCTTCTTCTTCTTCTTCTTCTTCTTCTTCTTCTTCTTCTTCTTCTTCTTTCTTCTTCTTCTTTTCTTTCTTTTGCTTTAGAGAAGGAGAGAGAGGTGGGGAAGAGGCAGAGGGAGAGCAGAGCCCAATGTTGGGCTCCATCTCACAACTCTGAGATCAGAATCTGAGTCAAAATCAAGAGTCAGACCCTTAACTGACTGAGCCACCCAGGTGCCCCAAGAAATCCACTTTTCAACTGCATTACATGGCCAGATGATATTTTATCCATAGTCTCTTCCCATCTTCCAATATCCCATTCATTCATGTAAAGGTGCCTGGAAGTTTGCATGACAAACAGAAAGGATGGCTTCTGGTGTTTGGTTTCCCATCCCAATTTTTTGAAAGGTAAAATCTTCTCAGGGAGTGGGGATGTGGTTTGAGAGAGATACAGGATCTCTGGGACACAGGCAAGATGTGGCACCACTAAAAGAGGCAACCAGAGAATGGAACTCATATCCTGTGTCTTTCCCTGAACTTCCTCTAGGAGAACTCCTATTGAGATTAAAGAGCCCTCAGTGCAGGACCTGACAACCAGCAGAGGAAAAATTTTAGCTCATAAAACATGTGAAGAATGTTAAAACTCGGTAAGCAGGAAACCATCAAGGTACAGAAGGCATTTTAAGACAATGGAAAGAACTTCTGTTAAGACACAGGAATGGGCTCTGATGTTCAGGGAATGAGAACTGTAAACATCTCAGCCTTGGGCCTGGGGATTTTTGGATAGAGTAAGTATGGATTGGGACTTGGCTCTATGATATTCTTCATGCATATGCAGGATGGGCCAGGGGAAAAAGACAGGTTTTGAAGACAGCCAGATGTATGTTTCAATTCTGTCCTTTCTACATTCTTTGGGGTGACTTGGACAAGTTATTTAGCTCCTAGAAGTTTCCATAAAATGCTCATCCATAAAATTCTGGCGATCTAAACCACATCTTATGCTATTATGGAAAGTGAAGAAGGTGATGTCTGTAAAAGCACATTTCTCAGTGCCTAGTAGATGGGAGACATTTGAGAAAAGTTTGTTCCCCTCCCTATCCCTTTATTTGTCTGGGGATGAGAGTGTGAATACCTTGCCTTTTCTCTGAAGGTGCTTTTGGCTCTGTGTAGCAGGCAAAGCAGGGGTGTAGACTGGAGAAGTGGAATCAAGGACTTCCATACTAGCACCTTCATTGAGCTCTGGGGCAAGAGCTGGAGGAGGGCTTCAAAGGTCCTTCTAGTGGATTGGCCTGGTCACAGGAGAGGAATGGAGAGAGGGTTTTAGAGCAGTGACCTGCCTCAGGAATGAAAATTAAAACTGGGGATCCCTGGGTGGCGCAACGGTTTGGCGCCTGCCTTTGGCCCAGGGCGCGATCCTGGAGACCCGGGATCAAATCCCACATCGGGCTCCCGGTGCATGGAGCCTGCTTCTCCCTCTGCCTGTGTCTCTGCCTCTCTCTCTCTCACTGTGTGCCTATCATAAATAAAAAAATAAAAATAAAAATAAAACTGCTTTAAAAAAAAAAAGAAAATTAAAACTGGATCTGGAGCCTAGCACAAGAGACAGCAGGACTGTATGATAAAACAATAATTTTCAGAGTAATGGAGAAGATAAATTTCATTTTTGAACAACTTTAGTCACTTAATTCCATAATTCAAAGCAAGCTTCATGGAAGATTAGTGGTAAGGGCTCTCCACATGCTAAAATTAATGTGTCTACAGAGGGTTCCTTGGGGAGAGATGGCTTGACACTCCTATTACCGTTAAGAAGACAAACCATCCATGGATGCCATGAAGCACTGCGGCGACTCTCCTCCAACTGCCAGCTGAATGATACTGCATGTAAAGGCCCAGCTCCCTTGCCTAAATTTGGCACATTTCTGAAGGGCCACCCACCTCCAGACTTCCTGTGGGATTGGCTAAAGCTTCTGTTGCCACTACACCGCAGTTTGATCCTCCCTCTGCCCTCTCAGGCTCCCTTCTGTCCCTCGTGGGTGTTCTTGTGAGTACTTCCCAAAAAACTTTATGCAAGCAAACCTCCATCTCAGAGTCTGTTTTCCAGGGCATGTGACCAATGACACTATGCATGGTAGACTGCTGTTATGGATGCACTAATGCTGTTCTTTGTGCAGAGTGAGTTGAAGCAATTCACAGTCTGAATGTTCTGAAAGGTAGACTGAGGGAGTGTTGGTGGAGATTTTTTTAACATTTAATGATATGTTGTGTCCTATGGAAGTAGGTCTCACTTTTTGTTTTAGATAAGCGTCGTAAGGCAATCCGGGACTCAATATTTCAAGTTCATCAGCTATTATCAGAGACCTACCAATCAATGACTTTGCAGGCTGACATAAGATCCTGTAAAGAGGAAGCACAGCTCCTGATCTTGAACGTGGCCACCCAGCATGAAGACACTTTGAGATGTGATTGTTTACCCGAGGAATGAGGCCACTTCAAAAGCAGTCTAGTGCTCTTCTTGATTTTTAGGGTGATTATA